GACACCACAATGGATGAGATGAGAAAGACCACAGCGGCCCGCGACGCCCTCGACCGACAAGACGTCATGGTCAGAAGAATCATTGCAGGCGCATATAGGGTAAATGCTGTTTATTTCTTCAGGAACGTTGACTTTCAAGACACAATCACACTGAATCCAGTTGACATTGTGTGTGCTCTTCGTCCACCACTTCGAAGAATATCACTTTTACACCTGATCCTTCAGAATGGCCGACAATTGCCGCGACCTCTACTCCAAAAGCTATATGATGCGATCGATGACTACAATCACATCAAGCAACGGGAAGATCAACGACCAAGGTGGGGCATCCACTTGTCTGAAGCTCACATACTTGCGATTGCTGATACCCCGACTCCTGCTGATCGTGAACGTACCAATCCAGCCGCTGGCAAATCGAAAGCAGCCCCAAAAGCGGCACCAGCACTGGGAAGAGTGTCGAAAGCGAAAGCATCATCGTCAGCGACATGGAGAACAGTTGAAACCGCTCCTCCGCCAAAACAAGCTCCAGTGACCCCGCCAAAAAAGGGTGGAAAAGACCAAGGAAAAGGTGGAAAATCTTATTCACACCGTGGCGGAGACTGGAACCATCAGGGATACTATGGATGGGGAAATAGATGATTAAGCGATCTGACCTCTGCATAGGTCCCGATTGAACCTGGCGATGCGAGGATGCAATCATTGCTCGAGATTTACCTCTACTTCATTTTGAATGATTTCTGAGAGGACTCTGAGCCGGCTAATTTAAAACCACATTTTTTTTTTGAACATCATTGCACGATACGCTGAGTTTCTACAGCGGTCTACGTCTCAACCGACGAAGGAACGGGAAGGTAAACTTCTAGTTCCATAGTCATCTTTGTGTTTTGATTTTTTAATTCACATGCTTGAGTGGGACTCCATGCTGGCTACGCCACATCGGATGAACCTCAATGCTTGACACCGACTACGTCGTGTCGACATGCACGTGAACAGAACCTTTATCTTTTGGTAGAGATCGTAGCAAGCCGCCATGTAGATTTGAAGTTCTGAACGGACTTTAGCTCTCCATAATTCAACAAATGAACAGCTGCAGACGAAGTGGATCAATTTAAGGGACACTCCTTTGCGCGTGGCCAACAAAGTTGGCCATGCGTCGGGGGTGCGAATGGAGTGTAGGCTACGGATCACTGCACACTCCCATATAATTCAACTCTTAATTGTCCACCGCCAAGGGATGCATCAATTTGCTCCTTTGGCTCAAGATTACTGCAGGTGCCAAGAGAAAAACGCCGCCATGCTGAAACTGCAATTCCCGTGTCGTCGTTGTTGAGAACATCAACCTCAAGATCAAACAACAGCACATAATCGGGGAGATAACCTCCGATTCACATATAATATATATATATATACACAGTATGTCATATGTATATAATTATATATTCTATTCTATTCTATTCTATTCTATTCTAATTCTATTCTATTCTATTCTATTCTATTATTTTTCTATTTTATACTATAATTTTTATATATTATATTTTATTGTAATATATTGATATTATATTTTAACATATTATATGATATTATACTATGTTTTCATATGTATATATATACATATACATGCACACCCAGAGTGGTGGTTTGAACGTTGTGTGACTGTCAACTGAAGAAAAAAAGATATCAATGTCACGCCGATTGACATCAATGGCTAAGTTGCGTTTGATCCCCCCAATATGCACCATTATAGTTTACATGTTTTTTAAAATAATATTTCTGCACATTATTTATATATATACACATATCATTCTATATCCGTTTACTGGATATATACGCGTTGTTTATTGATAAATTGTATATACATATACACACACTAATCACTTTTATTGTTGTATAATGTATACATATATTTATACATATATACATATACATGTATATATATACACAAATACATTTATATACAATTCTATACATTTTGTATACATTTATATGCATTTAAATACATACCTACGTACGTAGGTACATACATACATACACAAATAGAATTACATATGCATATTACATATATACATGTACACACATACACACATACACACATACACACATACACATACACACATATACACATACACACATACACACATACACACATACACACATACACACATACACACATACATACATACATACATACTACATATACATATATACAGATACACACACACATACACATATATATATAGATACATATACAGATACACATATACATATATATATATATATCCATTGATTGAATAGATGAATATATATATATACAGGTACATATTCACTAATTCTGCATATGCCCTATGATAGTGTATACATATTTATATTTACCTATGAATGTCTTACACATATTCCCTGTTCATGGATTGTGATATATATATATATATAAATGTATATATACATATATTTTAGTCATCAACCAGCTGGGGTAGATCGCAGCCAGCACGGAGGCCTCCGTCTTGGCTTTTCGGACCGTCTCTTCCAGAGACGTCTGGTGGTGCGAGACCGACGTGCGACACAGGCATCACCTTGTTGGCAAACTTACCATCAAATAATAGGTGAATTTATGGTTTTAACGGCAGGCAAATAAAGGTGACACCATCTAGTTGACCACTTTGATCTATTCAAAATTACCCACACATGCATACATATGTATATATTATATATATATAACTAAATGTGTATATATATATACATTATCACCTAAATCTGTTTTGGATAGCACGCGTAAGTCGAAATTCCGGATTCACCACTATTTTGTGTGAAAAAGGGATTTGTTAGTACCATGTTGTTTCCAGAGTTACCGAATTTCGACCGAGATGTTTGTTAGTTTTTTTTTACAAACATACAGTTTTGGGATGAATCGATGTTATCAAGCAACCAGTTTGAAGTACTGATAGAAACCTACCATGACTTCGGTTGAACTCCCACCGGTGGGCCATGGTCAGGTGAGCTGCGACCTACCCTTGGCTGCTTTGCAGTCACCAGATACTGGGCCCCGTTCTTGGGGGATGTTCATCCATTGTCATAGGGATATACCCTCTGGTAAACTAACATAGCTATGGAACATCACCATCTTTAATCTTTAATAGGTAAATCAACTATAAATGGGCCATGTTCAATAGCTATGTTAAATTACCAGAGGGTACACATGATGTTTGGATTCCTAATATGGAATGGATGACCATACACCATATGGACCATATACCTTGTTTTGACCATGGAAACGTACATATGATGAAACATATGAAGAGATCTTTAACACACACACACACACCTGGTGATTCTTTGACCAGCGGATTGAAATCTGGCTGGAACAAGAAACATTCATCGCAAATAAAGTTACAACACATGAGGATGTCGTGTGATTTCTGACACATACACGTCTCGAGGAATTCAATTGATTTTACTTCCTTGAAGCACCACAGATGTGGATGTTTGCACAACCATTTGATGCAACCAGCAGGAACTGCTGATTTGTTTGACGTGGAAGTACTTGCTGATTTGTTATGATGTGTTAATTTTGTTCGGATCATATAAGTCCAATATAGACCAATAATATCCAATATTATCCAATATTATATCCAATATTATGTATGGTTCCGGAATATCTGTCGACATATGGTGAGTCAACGGGGTGTCCATGTTGGAGCTTAGGAGCTGGTGGTAGAGATCGAGGATTCCAACGGAGAGTCGGTGAGTCGTGACGCTGCGATAGTCGTGATACCTGCGATGAAGTGATCAATTTTCCACTAGTTTCGATTCAAACTGCTGGGATTATCCATGAAGTTGATGTTTAGTGAGATATTACATATATATATATAAACATATGCAGATAACTGCTTTAGTCTCATTTGTCCATTAGGTTGTCACCCGGTCGCCTACTTAGCAAACTTTAGGGATCATCCCAGAAACAAGGCATGGTGGTCATTGGTTTCGACATTTGAGTTTGAGCAGACGCATCGCGGTGACCATAGAACATATAGAAATACTTCACTCTGGCAATTTACTGCAATATAGCTATTGAAGATTGCAATTTATAAGTGATTAGCTATAAAAAATGCTGATCTTCCATAGCTATGTTAGTTTACCAGAGGTTAACGCCCTTTGCCCAGTGGAGGAATTCCCCGAGAGCCACGAAGTTAGGGACATGGGCCTCCACCCGTGGGGCTCAAGTCAGGCTGAGTCAAGCAACCCCACTTGGGTGTGTTTCGAACATGGGGTATACCATGGTATAGCATTGTACATCCCCAACCTTAGATAGGTAGTTTAATCCTTGAGTCGTTTGCTGTAATTGGAAAATAACCATTTCCAGCAAAAGTTTTTTTTTTTTGTGGACTACCCAAGATTGACCATTGTACACCGTGTACACCCGTTTTCTAGATGGCCACTTGAACGGGGAACATAGATATTTACGATGGATTTTTAGGGGGAGTTAGCATTTTCAAAAGGAGTCTGAACGTGTTTGAACACTGTCTTGACCTCAGTTGAGCAACTGAAAAAAAAACGTAGGATTTGCAGGCCAAAGTTCTTGCCTCGCAAAGTGACACTAGCGGCGGCTGAAGACAGAAAAGGAGGGTGTGACACTTTGATAGCTAAGCCTTTGCCAAGCAATCCTACCGGACCGAAACAATGTGGTTTAGTATTAGATCTATTCATTTTAATTTCGTTTTATTTTGTTTCATTTGTTTCTGGGAAACTCTTATTGGGAGGGGGGTGAGAATATTGTGGTAAACTGAATAAGCATCCCCAGGAGGAACCAACACGGATGTGACTCCCAAACATCGATACTGAGAATGAACTATAACTATAACACACGATTCCATTACAAACAACTATAAGTATATATAAGTGTATATATATATATTCATCCAATTCTAACTCTTTTTTTGGGTGTTCTTAGCCTGTAAAGACACATGGTTTTTGGCTTTACCATTCAAGATTGCTACCGCTGCGCCCAGGTTTTGCCATGAACATCTGATCCAGGTGAGGTGTCCACACTTGTACCGCCTGGTGCAGGCCCAATGGGCCGTTGGGGATATGCAGAAAAGGGCTAGCGATCTGTATGGCTTAGTATGGCCAAAGATTTGCACATCAACAAATTAGGAGCCTCACTTTCTTGGAAATTCAAGAATATTCAAGTCGAAAATAGTCAAGATATGTGTTTTGGAAATTTTGGAATGATGTGTGAATGTCCTTTATCCAGATGTTCATCGATGTTCAAACATTTTGAGATGCTGTGTCTTCCAAGGCAGCTAGGTCCTGAGACATGTGGAGCAGAAGTGATGATGATGATGATGATGATGATGATGATGATGATGATATTTGTTGACATAATAGTATAATACCATAGATTGACATGAAGTTTCATAGGCATAACAAATTGGCATCGCAGATGTTTGTTAGGTGGTTCCATTCTTCCACCTGTAGCCCAGTCGAACTGGCTCATAAGATCGCTTGCTTTTGGAGGGTCTGCACCAGCCGGGCAGGTTGCCACAGAGAATTCAAGACAGGTTTTTTTCTATTTTTTCTAAACACAATGGTGAAAAACGTCGGAAAATTGCATGTGTTCTTGTGAGGTCATGGTGACTCTGAAAGGCTGTGTGTCAAGGTTGCGCCAGCCAATTAAAGGTACATGATAGCCACATGATGCCACATTTGGGGACAAAAAACAACTCTCTATTGAATCGTTATATTGTACATATATATATAATATCGATACAATCATAATCAATAGGAACTGAAATTCCCCTGGTTTTGATTTTACTTTGTAACTTATCAATCTGGTACTAGGCTTGTTGGGAGCCTGGATCGGCCAGGATCGCGTCAATGGTGCAGCTTCAGGCATGTGGATAGGAGGGAAGGATTCGGAGCTAGGGCTCATAAATGGGGGTACCCCAAAAATGGATGGTTTACCCTCTGGTAAACTAACGTAACTATGGATAATCACCATTTTTAATGGGTAAATCCACTATAAATGGCCATTTTCAATAGCTATGTTAGTTTACCAGAGGGTAATTTTTGGACAATCCTACTAAAATGGATGAGTTGGGGGTATCCGCTTTTGGGGAAACCTACATATTCCCGGTTCAATGGAGGGACAAGGGACAAGGGGCTTTTTTTGCGCTTCCCAACCACATGATAGTCTAAATGGTACACCAAACCAACCCGGTCCAGCCCTGGCACTGATGACCATGACCTGTGTTTTCAAATCTTCTCCCCTGGGCATTATCACAGGCTAGACGCTTTGCATCGTTTTGCGGGATTGGGAACCTTTTGATGCAGAAAGCCTCTTCTGACACAGTTGCAACTAAATTGGTAGGAACTCATTACAAGTGTTGGACCCTCCTGAGCAACAAGCACCTGTAAACTGGTCAGCTTCAGTCTTCACCGGTGACCAGTTATTTTTGGACTAAACCATCCAAGGACCCTACACAGCCACAACGCACTGCACTGCGCCTTGTTATACTTTATACTATATATATACAGCCATTTTGTGTTTGTCATACCTCAGTATTGTTGGTGGATTTCACGCTAAAGACTATCAACGCTATAGCTAATAGCTATTTGTGGTCACTCCAATATGTCCCTTTTCTGTTGGTTACTGTTCCTCATTCCTTTCTTGACTTCTGAGTTTCCCACATTCGCAGCCGTTGGTGGCAGCTGTGTTGCCAACCTCAACCAGAATGCAGGTAGTGACACAGCTGAGCAGGACGACAATTTGGATTCGTTGCTTCGGGTATCCTGTTTGCAACTGGAGCACAGTTTTTTCCTTGCAAATTGTGCCAGCTTTTGACACGCACCCATGCATTGGGGAACTTCACAAAACAACGATTCAGATCGCACATGTGAACAACACTTTAGTGGATACTTGGTGGATGCTCGAACTGGCATATGCATTTATCCGAGCTTGCTTGTTTGTTTTGGGCTGTGCCAAAATCTATGGTTATCATTATCAGATACAACCATAAAACAACAGCAACATGGACAGAAAACAGAAAAAACACATGTGGGTTTTAGGGAAAGACAGCCCCCAAAAATAAAGATTCAGGATTGTTTCAGGTTGACACAGCCCGAGTGCTCAGTGATTTCTCGCCACTTGAAGCTTTGCTTATATAGACTTGTTCTTTCTTTGAATAAGCTTCTAAACTGGTGAGCAGTGGCTACATACGTGGTTATTGCATTCTGAAACTTCCCTCTGTTGAAGTGGGAATTTCAGCTAAACTTATATAACCTTTTCTTAAGGAGAAAAGATGGACCCACACCCCTGGTTGCCAGATTTACTAGTGCCTGGTTGTCTTCAGCTTTTCCAAAATGTTATTTTCGCACAGGCAGTGAAGGATGACAACGTGAAGGCGGTGCAACGCGGAAAATGATGCGGAAGAAAAGGGAAACACTGCTTGGATGATGATGAATTAGTAAGGGAATCTTCCCCAAATGACCATGTAATGACCATATTCCAGGTTGGTGAGTCCTCTCAATTCAGCCAGATAATAGAAGATTCACATGGAACACATAAGAACATGGGTCTGGAAGAAGATTTGTCAAGTGGATATGACAATGTTTGGGTTTCGAGTGAAGCTTCAGGAGTGATGCATTGGAGGGTGAACTGTCCCAAGACTAGGAGGCCAATTTCAGTTTCAGGAGCAGAAAAAGAAGGTTGGTGACTTTCAGTGGCATCGTGCAATAAGTATCAATAAGTTCTATTTTGCATTCTCGAATCATGTCTAGTCAATCAGGTTCGATATTTGTTTGTCCATACATGTAGACACGTGTACTTAAAACACCTTAAAACAGAATGTGCAGGTGTACGACGGCCACAAACCAGCCATTCCGATTTGGTTTTGCATCCCAGTTGACAAGCGGGGTAAAGCATGCCAGTTATATGTTTGGGACATACCAGTTTTACGTATGGGGTACCCACTTAGTAGCTGGGATGCATCTCCGAATATCTGTTTAGACCCACACAATTTTGGTTTTGGTCTAACAGTCGAACACATCCATTTTGTCAGATGTGGATGCATGGACTTATAGATAGTTGTACTGTATCAATCGATATCATATATCATATATCCCTATCATACTTATAACATCTTATAGATAGTTGCACTATATCAATCTATATCATATATCCATATATATCCCCTATCATACTTATAAAATCTTATAGACAGTTGCACTATATCAATCTATATCATATTATATATCCATATATATATATATCCCCTATCATACTTATAAAATCTTATAGATAGTTGCACTATATCAATCTATATCATATATCCATATATATCCCCTATCATACTTATAAAATCTTAGAGATAGTTGCACTATATCAATCTATATCATATATCCATATATATCCCCTATCATACTTATAAAATCTTATAGATAGTTGCACTATATCAATCTATATCATATATCCCCTATCATACTTATAAAATCTTAGAGATAGTTGCACTATATCAATCTATATCATATATCCATATATATCCCCTATCATACTTATAAAATCTTATAGATAGTCGCACTATATCAATCTATATCATATATCCATATATATCCCCTATCATACTTATAAAATCTTAGAGATAGTTGCACTATATCAATCTATATCATATATCCATATATATCCCCTATCATACTTATAAAATCTTATAGATACTTGCACTATATCAATCTATATCATATATCCATATATATATCCCCTATCATACTTATAAAATCTTATAGATACTTGCACTATATTAATCTATATCATATATCCATATATATCCCCTATCATACTTATAAAATCTTATAGATAGTTGCACTATATCAATCTATATCATATATCCATATATATCCCCTATCATACTTATAAAATCTTATAGATAGTTGCACTATATCAATCTATATATCCATATATATATATCCCCTATCATACTTATAAAATCTTATAGATAGTCGCACTATATCAATCTATATCATATATCATATATCCCTATCATACTTATAACATCTTATAGATAGTTGCACTATATCAATCTATATCATATATCCATATATATCCCCTATCATACTTATAAAATCTTATAGACAGTTGCACTATATCAATCTATATCATATATCCATATATATATATATCCCCTATCATACTTATAAAATTGCACTATATCAATTTGTATATCCCCTATGATATGATCATCGACTGCACGGCATGGTGTTTACCCAACAGGCTCCGCGACATGCGCCTCCGGGGTGGATGGCTTCGGAGTGCTCGCAGGGGGCACAGTTTCAACTGAGGCACTCGTAGTGAAGCTTAGAGTGGGTGAATGTGTCTATATAGACAGTAATTCATCAATATCATTGAATAATTATATACATCATATATTAAAAAAAAAACATATCATATATACGTGTATATATACTATATATATATATAAATACACCCATAAATATAGACATATGCATACATTTGCATGTGTGTCTTCTACGTTTTAGTGGGGTGCCTATGCACGATGCACATGCAGGATATCTATTTCAGGGATTCACGAACTCACCGACACCAGGCAGTTCGTTCTACATACGCCAACATAAGTTCAGATATATATATATATCATTCATGGATTTTAGATGATGCTACCAATCCCTGTAATCCGAGTTTGATATATTGATGTTAAATTATGTTAAATTTATAGAATCATCATCATGACCCAGCTCGACCATAGCTGCGGATCTGAACGTGTTTGCGCGATGTCCAGGCTCTGAGCTGCGAACGGACATCCAGATAGGATACAGAGATGACCGTAACATCCCCATCACCAGGGTTTGTTCAAGGTGAGATCATCACAATTTTGATGGGTTCCTTGTTAACCTTCATCATATGTCAGTGGGTTGGCGAATAACCACAGTTAAACCTTGAAACCTCTAAAGTATTTTTTTTGTGCTTTGGTTCTTCAACCCCCCGTTCTTGCTGCTTAACCCCCATTTTTGGTCAAACACTATTATTGGTTAAATCCAGTCTGTGTATGGGTGCGTCTGAAAATGGGGTATGCTGCATACAAAGCCGTGGATTCTCGTTGAGTATTTCAACGAGGTACCCTATGTTCAGACCCCGGTCTTGTCATGGTTGTTTTGTTGCATTTTTGTTGCTGAAACCTTCGGTAAGACCATGATTTTTATTGGTGAACCCCCCAATTTTGGTTTGGTGAACCCGGTTAGACCCTCCCAAGGTCGCACTGTCACTGGATCCCAGTGGTGCGCGGGCTGTGGGGCAGTTGGGTCATTTTGTTGGGATTTGGGCATGGGGCAAGGCCCTGGTGCGGTGAGCAAAATAGCTGTGATAGCTGGCATGATCTATCCCCACTTGGATCCCCCGCTGGGGTCGAGCATTTTGACGCATAGCCATGTATCTTGAAAGGGGAGACAATTCCAACATGATGGCCTATTTGAGTCATTTTGATAGAGGAATAGATGCATGTGAATCCCTAATCCCATGGAGCTAATGTAAAACACCCCCCAGAAATCATGGTGACAAAACATGGATTTACACATCTTGGAGACCATAGAACGCGGGTGTTTAACATTAAGGCAATGGAATCAAATGCTTGTAGATCTAATATATCCAAAAAAACTTGGATTGTTCAGAGATTCCTCGACTCGAAGTCTTCCCCCTCACTGAACTGGGAAATGGACGAAAAAAAGGCAATTGTAGCAGAAATGGATGGCATCAACCATCAAAATATGGGTCATTGAGGTGATGATTGCTTTACTAACATGATTCATGATTGACATTTCTCGCAAGGACTCAAGGACGACATCTGGTCGGTGTTTTCAGAGATGTTTTGCCTACCCGGGTGATGATCCGGAAGCATAGCTGGCCCCCCCGAATCCACATTCTTTCAGCCAGGATTTACCACACATCATCTTGCACCACTTCCTGTTGTTTCTGTACTCAGACAGCACCAGGTGGGACGTCTCTGGGCCTGCTCAATGGTATAATATACCAATATATACCATCATTTATACCATTGATCATCATCTGTAATAATAAATGGTATAATTATTTAATATATCATCAATTATTCCTGCAGATGATCATTACTCAGGAAACTCTTTTCTGTACTTCCTATGCCTGGTTCCGCTGAAAAAAGGCAAGGACCAAGGACGTCTGAAGGACTTCAAATCTCAAAAGAGATCCTCCGCCATGGGGGGCCATGGGGTTTTTCATCATGCCATGTATAGCTGGAAACTGACAGATAGCCACTAGCTATACATAGTCTTTACATAGTTATACTAGTTCTTCTGGACCTTGAGATAGTGACTCTAATGTCCCAAGTCTTGTTTGGCTCACTGCGATGATGATCCCAAGTGACCAACATTTCCAAGAAGCGAGCTGAAGGTCATGCCGTGTTTTTTGGTCAAGCCTCTTCACAGCGGATGCTGAAAAGCGCCTAAAAAGGGGATGGATCAAAATCTGCCAGATTTCTTGTTGAATATCCATAAATCCAATCTATTTTGAGTGAACACCAATGCTTACCCGGATTTTGGTATGTTTTTGGCCCACACCCAAGGTACTCCCAGCCCTGCTTGTGCAGGTTTGGCCATTTGTCCATGGACCAACTCTATAGGTGCTGACAGTGCTGAGCTGGGGAAATGGGTGAGTTCTAGAATGTGGGAATGGATGTTTCAACATAAAACATGGGAATGTCAAATTGATGGATAGTATTGCATATCAATGGATACATGGGAATTTCAGAGGATATTGATGGATATTCCATATATATATATGCCACAGTCAAAACATGCTTGACTGACATGGCTGGTAATCCTGCCAGTTTTCCCAAACAGGTCAGTCAAGTTACCCTCTGATAATCAAACGTGGCAGTGGCAAATCATCATATTTGATATATAATTGATTCATCATAAAATCATACATGAATAGGCAATTTTCCATAGCTATATTAAATAACCAAAGGGTAACGATGAATTCTGTGTGGATTGTGATGTGAATTCCTTTCCATGCTATACCTCTCAATTCTGTGTATAGTCCATCGGTAAAGTAAACAGATGACATCTGGTTTCCCTCGAATGACAGTACAACCATTGGTTGAGAGATGGGTTTTGAGAAGGACTATGCTGTATTATACACATATTACCCTCTGGTAAACTATATAGCTATGGAAAATCACCATTCTTAATAGGTAAAACGACTATATATTGCAATTTTCAATAGCTATGTTAAATTACCAGAGGGTGATATGTGCATCACACAACAATTATCAACACTTATTTGCCTGAAATCCTTTCACACATAGTATATCCCATCATTCTCATTTAGGAGTGTCCCCGCTCATAGAGCTCAAGAAGCGCAAATATCCCTCCACCTCCCCATTATTGGGACTTGGCCGTACTTGTAGCACTGAGGTCAGCCCATAGTCTGAATAGTAGGGGCCATCACTTAACTTCAAGCTAGCTGCTCTCCAAAAATGCGGTAATTACCCTGAATGTGACAAACAGCAGGATTTTTAGTTTGTCCAACATTTTCAGACAAACTCCAAGACATTTCTGGTCAAGCTTTACTTTCCATGCCGAGGTTTCACCGATGTTGAAGCCGATTGGTTCCCCCCAAAACATGCTAAATTCTGGGACCCATCCAGCAGCCACGGACGTCAGCCACGGACCTTCAAGTTGGCACCTGGAACTGCAGCACCAAAGTGCTCAAAAACAGTCTTTTTTGCCAAATCTTTGTGCAAATCTGTCTCATGTCCGTCCGATAGCAGGTTTCTTGGCGAAAATGGACATGTTGGAGCTAGCCTCATAGATCGTAGTATATAGTTTTATTGAATTTTGGATTCCCCAATTCTTGGATATAGAGCCATAATGGTGCTAGTTTGTTCAGATTTGAGACGGTGATGTTTGGGACTTCGGCCTTCAACGGCCCTGGGTCCACAACTGGTTGTGCTGCTTTGAGAAATCCCTTTACCTGATAATGTATTCATATCATAAGCATATGGCAATATGTAACATTGTGTATATATATATATATACAGGTGTATATTATATATATAGGTATATCTACATAATACACACACATATATTTATATATGTATCTACATAATACATATATATATATACATGTGATGTATGTATATATATATATACGTACACGTGTATATACATATGAGTATGTATTGGCTATAATATATATATATATAATATAGTGACTATATAATTACATCCATGTATATACATATAGATAGATTATATAGGGCGCATATATAGTTATATTGTATATGGAGTATATATATATATATTGTATATAATATTTATATGTGTGGTCAGAGGCTTCACCTATTCTCACATAGCCATCATTCGACTGGCTAGTGCAGACCCAGGTGATTGCAGCATGTCTCGCCACTCGCATGCAGGGCAGAGGGCAGTGTGACTTAAAAGTTTGGATGATCTAGCAGCAGCCAGGAATCTCTTTTCGGTGTGTCCAAAAAATTAGGAATACCCTTCGTAGATCCTCATGGCATTTTTGATAGGGAATATATGGGAATACAATGATAACTCACTGGACTTTGGGGTAGCCTATTTTTAGACAAAGCCATATATCGTTCTATCCCCATTGTATTCCTATTACATCCCATAAAGTACCCACGATGTCTGTATTTTGCCATGTTTTGCCAGGCAGTTTTCAGGACTTGACTGGAGATATGTGACAGTCATCAGCAAGGGACTGGACCACAGAGGCTGCAGCATATTGAAATTTAAAACGGGGATGAAGATCCATTAATCCCAGCTAAATGTTGATGTGAACTACAGGGGTATTGGGGTTTTGACCCATCCCCATATGCTGTGAAACGTATTTAAAAGTGAACATCTCATGTTCCCCATGAACATTGGCATTGAAGTGGAGGGACCTTGGCCGAAAACCTCCTCAGTGGGGGAAGTTCCAAGGCATTTGGAAAGCCATCCTTTGGCTTTTCGTTGTCGTTTCTGCGGAACGTACCAGAGGGTACCTTGGATGCCATGGTTACGATTTGTCTCGAAAGGAGAAATCCTCCGAAATGGCAATTCTAATGGGAACAGTATAGTAGCAAGATGTATACTAACCACATTGGATTTTGGGGGGTGACTTTGAGACAACCCCATTTTGCAGTCATCCAGAACAATCCCTTGATGGGATGGATGAGAGAATAACACATACTATCTCAGATTAATCCATGTTAATCCAGAGTATATTCCCAGTATCCCCCCAGTTTTAACCAGTTTTATTGGTGATGTAGCCGTCGTAGCCTGGAAACAGAGCCCCTGCCTCCAATCTGTGACCAAGGCAATTCCAGCATCTTGACCTGCGAAGTGGGACCTGTTTCTGGTATGGGCTAAGATCTTTGAAGGATAGCCTAGTTGATGATTAAAAAACAGAATCTACCTGGATGAATCTGTTTACTTTTTGTGTCATGAACTTCATCACTAACTGGGACAGCTAGATCCGGTGATTAACGTCGTCCCTTCGGATCATGATCCCCGGAGTTTTCCGAATGATTAACTCGGCGGAGTTAAATGCACCAACCAAGAAGGTACGAATATGGGGTTGTTTCCAAATCCCATAGGATCCATGGTGCTGCTATATATGGTAACATTTACCATCATTATACCCCAAATGTTAGCATATATACCATACATGGATCCTATGGGAATGGGCATACCCCCAAATTGCGACTCAACTAGATTTTCCGGGAGAACATGATGATATACTACCACGGCCAAAGCTTCGCTGAGGGATGCGGAGAGTGGGAAGCTCAGGGCCGAAGATGGACCAGGGAAGGATGGGATTGCAATGGTGATTTCATGGTGATGTTCAATCTAAAAATGGTGATTTATTGGTGATTTAACCAGCCAAAATTGTGATTTAATGAAATATATAGTGATATATATATATATATATACACACATATATATATACCTATATATATATACCTATATATATATATATATATTAGGGATATATATATATATATATCATGGAGATTTCATGGGTATATAAACCCTTGGGTCGTTCATGGCAAGCTGGGAAATCCCCCAAGGGTACCTGTTAAAGATGGGGTCAAGTTTGAACTGTCCCTTTTAATGGCCCAAACTTTCGAGGTTGCTGCGTAATGATAATTCATCCAGACATGAGAGGTATTGTTTTTGTGTAGTCATATATATATATTATAAATTATACTTATTGATTTATGAGTTATATAATAAGACCATGTCCTACGTGATATTTGGTGATATTCCAAGCCTCTTTTTTCGAGGGACACATCTTAGAATTGTAGAACCAGGCGGTGGTGGATTTTTTTTGGGGGTTCCTATTTTGGGATAAACCCCTCTTGGATTTGGTGCCTTTCATATTGTAGTGAATACCTATAAATCTAATTTCGATCGTGTTCCTTGGCTGGTATCTTCTGTTTTCTGGTCGCAAAGATAGTTGATCTTCATAGTTGCCCGCTGTACTGTTTAAAACTTGTGGAGTTGGTTTGCTTCAAGTTTCTGTTACACCAAACGGCCGTGCTTGGCTAGAACATTCAGAGGCTTTTTTGAGACGCAGGCCACATACCCATTTGGCATCATTTAGTGATGCTGGGATTCTGCTGTATGGCCCACTCTTTTTTAATATATAATGTGTATCAGGCAAACACTGTGCACCAATCGATCGCAAATGACAGTTTTTGTTTTGTTCGAGCATCGAGTGCTGCGGCCAATACTGTAATTTTTACGAAATGAATGACTCCAGCGGGTAAATTGGATGTGGCTTGATTTTTATAGCAAATGGGTGCACTAACCAAGATACAGTTTCAGACCCAAATTTGTTGCCGGGGTGATTAAGCATCAACATCCAACAATTTGTGCAAAGCGCAGCATAGGTAAATTCGCAAATATGAAGATCAAGAGCGTGGAGAAGGCGGTGCTTGGTGAATGGTTATGACAGGTGATTAGGTGACTACCGATGAGCTGTGGTCAACGATATAGGCAGACACTGCATTTTTGAAAAGAGCACAACTACATGCGACATGTATATGTTTACAGACATACAATCATTCTGAAGTAGATAGAATATGTTTATTCAAACGTATTTGCATTTTTGTTATTTTTTTTGAATTTCCATATTATTATTCTATCTACTCCAGGATGACTATAGATGGATTGAATAAATACATGCGTGCGACACTAGTGACCCGACTATTGGATCGTGGTTGTGGGTCAGGATCTCCAAGAGAAGAATCAAATTTACCATGAATGGAACATACATTCGAGATTGTATATGCTTGGCGTACCTTGTTTGGTAGTAAAGTAGGCTATCTCTCTGGCCAGAAATGGAGGCAATATACCATCCGGCTAAAAATAAAAAACATGCGCAGTATCTGAGCTTATAGCTATGGCATGCTATGGCATGCTATGGCCAAAGATACTGTGCACGGTATCTCAGCTTAGCTAACGTGGTAAACCCCAAACAAACCATCACAAATTTACCGAAAAGGATCGTATATGGTCTTAAACCATCCCCCAGGTTTATGCTTGGGTTTACCATCGACGGATATATCCATAAAATCATATTCAATAAACTCGACACATATGTATCACCAAATTCCACTCTTCAGTCATAAAATCAAGCACATTCAAACACATATCATCCAACCATTCATCAGCTCAATAATGTTTTGATATGGTTATATTAGAAATCCGAACAACAATTGCTTATGTAAGGATTCATAAGAATTCATCAGCCACCACACTTAACAATCCATGAAATAATACGTATATTAACCTACGTATATTCATTAACCTCAACAATCATGAAATGGTCATTAATAACTATACAATCATGTACCCTCTGGTAATTTAACATAGCTATGGAAAATCACCATTTTCAATGGGTAAATCCACTATAAATAGCCATTTTCAATAGCTATGTTAAATTACCAGAGGGTAACCATTCATACAACCATTCATCAGCTCAACAATCCATGATACTGTCGCCCCTTGAGGTGAAGGTGGAAGCCATTTCCAAGGCCGAAGCCATCCGCATGCGTCAGACGGGCTTGCGCTTCCACGAGGCCGACGCGAGAGCGGTTGGCCTAGGGGAAGGCGGTAACGGTTGGCCCGGTTGGCCTAGGGGATACAGGGCTAATCTATGGAAATCGATAAGAAGTCCAAAGGAGACTATAGCTTAGTGTATAAAGATAGATGGAAAATCCATGGATATATTGGATATTAGACATATTATAATGGATCAACATGGACATATATGAACATACATGCAATATATGGATAATCTATGGAAATCTCTGGAAATAGATATGGGCAACTCTTGGTTTGCATGGAAAATGATGTATATATAGATATGTTGTTTTATTGGTGTTCATTTTATTTGTTTTTGTTCTGTATCTATTTCAATTAGCAGGAGGGTGACTCTTCTTTCCGTGATGGATGGGGGAATACAATGCCCAACTGGTTTGTGGTTTGGAATGTTTTTCATTTTAATTTGTTTGAAAGAACGTATCGGGGATGATGATGATGATGATGATGACGATGATGATGATACCCCAACGATGATCACCTTTTCTGTTTGGGATTTGTTGAACCAACCATCAGCCTTCCTTGCAGCATATTTAAGATCAGTCATGATGGCCATGGTTGAATTCATCTGGACCACTAGCCTGAAGATGTAATATTCTAAAAACTGCTGTAGAATCCAACCATGAATAGATGAATAGCTCAATATGATTCAATCACTGACATCGGCCTGAAATTTCACACACATCCCCAATATTCCCCAATAATATAGGTTACTGTATCACCCTTTCAATATGAACCCTATTAGATCCCCAAACATCTGGGTTTGGCATATTATTTTCCACTTCGATCAAGGCCATATTCTTGGGGGCAGGTGGAACATCATCACTTCAACGACAAAGACTCCCGCAATGGCCTCTTGGGCATGGTGGAGATGGGGAGCCATGATTTTCCCATTGAAACCCTCCATTTTCGTTCGGGATTAGGCAGCATCATGCAGCATCTTTGGTTAGCGGACCCATGGAGGGTGATCTATGAGACCATCAATAGCTGCCTGCTGCAGGTCATCCAAACCAAAGCATCGACGTTTGTTTGGTTGGGGAGATGTTACTGCAAGGAGGAATGATGTAAACACTAAGCGAAGCAAATTGACCGGGAATCCTTTTCCGTTTTGAAAAAGGAGCGTGCTGAAGGTCCAAATAGTTGATATCCAATATGGAGCAACAGCACGACATCTCCTTTTAGCATGAGGTGGCACTCAGATTGTGATGTCACCGGATATACCATTGACATGTTTCGTCACAGATGTTTGAACAAAAGAAAGATGTTCAGCAAACAAACAATCTTAGAGGAACATGTGCTTTAATGATTTAAGTGTGATGTACCTGTGTGAGATATATTTATATACAAGTATTTACAATTAGAAATGCATATTAGAAATATATACACGTATTATGATGATGATGATGATGATGATGTATTTCTGTACATATTTTGAAGATATAGTAGTGATGGACGCAGTATAAGTATACCCTCCCAAGGAAAACTTTGGCAGGACGGGCTCGGCCGGCCTGGTTGAACTTAGGGCTTCAGTCTGCCGATGGGGCGAGAAAGGTGGCATTGCTTTTGTTAGATGTTGGCATTGGATAATAAGTAGTTTTGTTGGGTAAGTTTTAGATGTTAGAGAATGATTGTTATGTTCAGATCATTGTACTGTTGATATTTTATCTATTGTTTCTATTATGTTTGTTATTATGATTACCATCTACATTGATAGACTTGCCGATGGTACCGCATGGTCATCCCTAAGGATGCCAGGCCCTTCCCGGCAAGTTTCGCAGGACTTGAAGGATGCAGCAGCTGCAGCTGCCACGGAGAAAGAGTTTTTGCCCAGCTTTCCGTGGAAGAAAAAGAAGAAGAAAGGACCCGTGATGATGCGCTAAATGGACAAAGACGTTTACAGACAATATGAGGTTTAATAGGATTTATAAATATTGTAAATACATGTAAATACGCAGTATCACTATATGTACCAATATGAATAATTATGCTTTATCTCTTGTATAACAACCTAGAGATGTAAAGTGTATATATGTGATTATATGTGTATACATACACTAGACACATTTGCATTATCAATGTAATACAAATCCAGTGTGTGCAAATTTGCAGAAAGCTCATGGGTGGTTGGGTCGTTTTTTGGGGAAGGGACGAAGATGAGCAAAGCGCAAAGCAGGTTGTCGTGGATGGCTACCGTGGTCGTAATTGATTATTGGTGATGAGTTCACAAGGGTTATTATTTATTTAATTTTCCTGTTTATTTTTATATTATACTGATATATCTATTTATTTGTTTATCCTAAGGTGTACAGGTGGATTTTGTGAATACTGAAAAGAGAATGGACGGTCACATTCCTGCTGGTGTCTCATTCTCTACCTTTGCCTTGAGCACAAGGACCCTTGAAATATCTTGAATCGGAGGGTTGAGCCCCCAACATGTTTTTTTTTCTTGAGTTCCACCTCTATCTGACATCGAGTTTCAAACCAGGAGAAGATACCAAGGAAGAGAAGAGCTCGACATCGACCAAAGCAAAGACCAAAGAAACGTCCTCAGAGGAAGAGGCCGACCTCGCGTGATTTGTCGCTTTTATTCTCCCATTGCTGGTTTTGCCATGTTTTGCCTACATAAACTGCCAGTTGTTGGTGTATAGATCCAGCAAGCGCGGTGCTATGCCAAGAGATCCAAGAGTCCGTGAGGAGCTGACCAACTCATCCAAGTTGGACACGAGTCTGGAGGAAGCGTTAATGCCCAAGAGAAAGTGCCTTGGCCGCGGCACAGAGGTTTGGCCCAAAAGACCACGTAAGATGGAGCAAAACGGAGCAGAGCCCGTTTTCAGGGGTATAAGATGTCTAAAGAATGTGTGAAAGAAGATGGTGTAAACAAATGAAGTCAGACGTTAAGAGGATGTTTGAAGAGTGATATATTATATATATGTCATTTTGGAAGATTGGGGAAGTCCAAAAGAATCCGAAGAAGGGGGCATGTACATGCTAGAGGGAAAACTGAGTTTGGTGATGGTGATGCACCTTCCCAAATTTCAGGTTCACTTTGATTGTACAGTAAATTTGTCGCATGAGGTATGTCTAGGCATTGACGAAAACATATCATGCAACTGTTCAATGTTTCTGTGTTTGTACCCTTCACATTTTAATCTATTTCTGTTCATATCATATCATAAAACTACTATATATTTTCAAATGTTCAATGTTTCAGAGCAATTTTCTATGTTTTCTTTGTTCCTGGTGCCTGAAAATGACACTGTCATCGCAAATCTCATGGTTTCACCGAAGGCACCAGTGATGTTCAAACTGTTCAGTTTTGTTGATAATTGGTTCATGAATGTATCAATAATTCATGATAATTCACAATAAGTTATCATAAGGTATCATCATTTATCATAATTTATCGTGATTTATCATGATTTTATCGTAAATTACCAAGCATTTATAGTTGTTTCGAAGATGGTTTACTATTGCTTTACTACCATGAATCATAAATTGAATCATCATTGATCATCCTTTATTGATTTATCATATATTATTTATCATATATGATTTCTAACTTCTCATATCATTAATTATATATATAATATGTATCATATTTTCTCATTATTTCTTCATCAAAAAATGCCATAAATCGTGACTGGGAACCACTCTTTATCCATGCTATCTTGGTGCCGAGGATCCGACCGACCCGCGTGGGTGGCTTCCTCTGCGCCCAGTTCGACCTGGATCTCTTCGCCCTCTCGGGAGGACGGGGCAACGACGGTTACGAAGTTTTGGAACGGGACAAATATGGGGGATTAGTGTCACAGATTGATTGTTAATGTATCTATATGTTATGTAATATAACACTATATATCTAGTATTATAACTATTATTATTATCCATCCCAACTTTCTAGAATCTAGGAATGGGATAATTGTTAAGAACTCTTTATTGTTATTGGTGTTATTGTGGGTTGGCTCGTTGCTGGTGGGTGGGGATTATTGTGATAGTAGGAAACAATTGCGAAATTGTTATGGATTGAATTTATTATAGATCATGAACCCCCATTCCCATCATTCCCTACTAATTAAGCACCAGCAAGTCTTTAAGACGTAAGACTCCGTAAGACCTCTTGAAAAAGGGATAAATATGGATAGATCTTTTGCGAGGACCGGGAGTCTGATCAGAGATTCCAATGGTTTGGAATAAAAAGCGAACAACATCACAATAGCTAACATCCATGAGAGATGGATATTTGAATCAACCATGAATGGAATGATTACAACTTCTGCACATGATATACATGATACTGTAGGAGTCGAGATGGCATGAACATCGGCATTCTTAGAACAATAATAGAATACACTTTTTCAGACATTCCGGAAAATGGTTACATCATCAGAATCCCGCAGAGTTTCCAGGGTTCTTCATGATTTGAAAGCATCGTTCAGGTGCCTTTCCCGGCATGGTTGGCGTTGGGCGTCTTGGCCAGCGATGGTTTTCGAAATCAGCGGTGAAGACATCGATTTCTGGCGATGGTTTCAGAGATGGCTTGGCTCATTAAAGCTGGAAGCGTTGTGTGTTAAAACACTGGATATCACTGGATCCCCCCATGAAAAACCCCATGGAAGTGAATCATGGCTTGCATCTGAGTGTCGCAACAGATTTTAGCCATAACCAAAGACGATCTGATGCGGTTTCGTAAAATGGGCGTACCCCCAAATTATTCCAAATTAGACAAATTTAGTATTGAAATCTATGGTTTTGGGGATCCCCCAGTTTATGAAACCTCCATCTGCGCATAGGTTGCTGGGAGATATTCACTATCAGCCCACCACCCACTGCTATGGCTGGACCGCAGAAATGTACCTCATGTTCTCCATTGGTGTAGGCCAGGCCCGTGATTACCAGATGGAAAAAGTAGAAAATCCCCAGAAAGATGGAGTTACATCAAGTTATAACGTATCTTTACCATATTTGATAATAACCAATCGCTACTTGGGGATTTATCTCGATCTCTATATATTTGATGGCAATCACTCGCTAAGCTAGGGGATCACCATGATTTTGCTCCATGTAGCTGTCCATCCGTACGGTACGGTTGCATTATCACGCGTGCCATCCAGCCATGATTCCACCATGATCAGTTGAATGTTCCCAAGATGAGTAAGCGAGCCGAAGTGTCGATGTGCTTGGGAGTGGGGATCTTCCAACATAATATGCAGAGGAATGTTTCGGGCTTCAAAAAAGACAGTACAGGTACCTGGTCCTGACCTGCACGTGTTCAGATGGAACAAACACCACAAAATATGATCAATCGTGCCAGAGAAGAGGCCAAACACCATCTTCGAAATGTCAACCATCACCCAAACACTTAAAAAACATAAATCACAATCCAACACAATTGAGCAAATGAGATAGTTCATTGTTACATGAACAATCTATGATATATGATATATCATGAAACAAATCCCTATGAAATATCCATAAGTAAAATCTCCCATTCCCATAACCTATTCCCATATTGTATCCCAATGAAATATCCCCATTAAACATAGGCCTGCGGCTTCCGCCGGGGAGGCCTATGGGGAATGGACTTCCGGGTGGCTCTGGTGGTGATCACCACGCTGGTGGTCACCGAGCGTCCGCTGTCGGCCGGCGCCAAGGATCTGGTCTGGGCGCCATGGCGAAGCCGGAGTGGAAACAAAAAAGGGGCCAGGGATTCTATGGTGATGGGTTATGTATGGGTTATAAAGTTAGAAACCCGTATATATAATTATATATTTATATATATGTCATATGGAAATAGCCGATGAATATGGAAAATATCGTGAATGATATGGGTTAAAGGCTATAGGTTACAAGAAAACTGTTTGGCTTATTCAGAGGTTAAATATCTTGAAAGTTGGGGGTCAATGGGGTTGGGGTCTAAGACAGTGCCTTTACAGAAAACTATGCCATCAATAGGTTCGGAAGATCAGATTTACCATTGGACTTGGCCAAATGTGGGGTCAAAATATCTTGCAAGAATGCTGGATAAACAAATGCGCCTGCACCAGCTATTTGAAGAGGCGGGAATTTTTAGATGATACCCTCTGGTAATTTAACATAGCTATTGAAAATTGCTATTTATAGTGGATTTACCCATTGAACATGGTGATTTTCCATAGTTATGTTAGTTTACCAGAGGGTAATATTATAAGCTTGGAGTAGCAAATTCATACGAAGATCCCAAGGTCCCAAGAAATGAACCGTGCTTTGACTACAGCAAGCTGAGAAACGACCCAAACGGCTGTTCATCCCAAGGGGTTATGAACCCAAAATGGGAAAACGTGAATCGCTAGGAAAGGTGAATCCCTATCAACAAAGCAGTATAAAGATGTATAAAGTATATAAAGAGATGACATTTCGGGTTTTGAACATCTGAATGTTTTTTTCATGAGTTCAACGCCTCCCAAATCCTCAATGGACCTAAGGAGCTGCCTCCTGGCTTTGATACGGCGCACTGCATGCAGAGCAACCCCTTCAAGTTGATCACTGCGACGACTACAGAAGGACACGAAGGGACACGAAGATGAAGATCTTAACTTTGAAAACGCCAAATAACATGGTTGATCATCAATTTTCCCTGCTAAAATTGCGAGTTTGGCGTATCAGCCATTTTAGGACAAAACCATATGTGACTAGAAAAAAGAGGAGATGATGTGAGATGATGTAAGTTGTAAGGATGATGGGTTGAAACCAGGGACCATTCAGCAGCGAAGCGAAGCTGGCGTGTGCCACTCATTGTAGTTTTGCGGGTTGGACCTTTGACCAGCGACTTTTGACAACGATAGAATGTTAGTTTTTTGATGGGGCATGTTTTTGGGGAGGTTCTGGTGACCATCACGTTCTTTTGTATTCCCAATTGAGACCAAAGCCCCTATACCTATGGAATGTCGTCATGCACTTGGTCGCTCCAGAACTTTGGGAATCCTTTTGGCCCAATATGATGGTTTTGTCACTATTCCGTGGATTTTAATAGGATAGCTGACTGGCAAGGTCAGGATCAAATAGTTAGGAAACTAGTCAAATCTTTTGGGAATAGTCCAACATAATTTTGTGCCTATACATAATATAATATAATAATCACATATAGATATAATATGATATATAATATAATAATCACACATATGTATAATATTATATATAATATAATATAATTTAATATAATATAACATAATATAATATAATATGATATGATATGATATAATATGACATGATATAATATGATATATAATATAATATGATATATAATACAATATGATATATAATATAATATGATATATAATATAACATGATGTATTATAATATAATGAATTATAATCAAATATTATATTATATGATACAATATAATATAATAAACTATGACATTATATGATACAACATGATACAACATAATATAATATATTCAAATATAATTTATCCAAAAATAATATAATATATTCAAATATGATATGATATGATATGATAACATAATATAATATAATTCAATATAATGTAATATAATATAATATAATATAATTCAATGTAATATAATATAATATAATATATAATATAATATGATATACTATACTATAATATAATATAATTTAATATAATTCAATATAATATAATATAATATGATATAATATAATATAATATAGTATAGTATAGTATAGTCAAATAATCATCATATAGTCACATTACAAAGTCTTCTGGCGACCTCCCGACTCTCCCGACGCATGCATTCTGCCCTTCGCACGACAGGATGGAAGTTCATCTACCATCATGTCCTGAAGAAAAGGTGCTGCCCTCAGAGATCAGATGAGCTGTAGATCCCATGGAATCCATGAGACTGAACACGTTTTTGACCCGAAACAGCTGGAACAACTTGAGTGTGGATTGTTATGGATTGTGGATTCCATATTGAGTCTTGCCAAAATGATTCCAAAGCACGAGTTCTTCAGAAGGCCTCCTCGCCGTCGAGTGCGAAATTCATCGAAATTGCACATCGATCAGGTACCTGAAGCATGCAGAAAACGAAGTTAAAAGGTGCCAGGGCTGCCTGCTTTGGAAAGCTGCCAGGATGTTTGGATGATCCCAGTGGTAAGTGGGTCAAACCCCACATGGATTGATGGTTTGTTTTTGTTGCCATTAAAAGCGGGTCATGGAAATTTGGAAACATGATATCACTATATGTTTTGCCAGTTACATATCCATGTGTCCAAGATCAGCTTCTGAAAAAAGTATAAAAAAGTGCCATGCCGAAGAATCCGCGGTCAAGAACTCAGGTACTTGACAGAAAACAAACACGAGATCGCGGGTTTTCAGAGGCCTCCCTGGCCTCCCGCCTGGTGCCGTTTAGATCCGCCAGGAATACCCAAGAGTTGGAGCTCAATCCACTGATGAATCCCCCATTTTCAGACCCAATATTTGATGGTCAAAGATGTCAATATCCCCGTGATTGCTGGTTAATACCAAAGTAATACATTTGACTTCTTACGGATATCTTATGCGTATTACCATCTATGGTATTGACATCTATCTTATGATATCTTATGAGTATTACCATCTATGATATTGACATCTATCTTATGAATATTACCATCTATGGTATTGACATCTATCTTATGAATCTTACTACCTATGGTATTGACATCTATCTTATGAGTATTGCCATCTATGATATTGACATCTATCTTATGAGTATTACCATTTATGGTTTTAACACCTATCTTATGAGTATTACCATCTATGGTATTGACATCTATCTTATGAGTATTACCATCTATGGTATTGACATCTGTCTTTTGAGTATTGCCATCTATGGTATTCACATCTATCTTATAAGTATTGCCATCTATGGTATTGACATCTATCTTATGAGTATTACCATCTATGGTATTGACATATATCTTCTGAGTATTGCCATCTATGGTATTGACATCTATCTTATGAGTATTGCCATCTATGGTATTGACATCTATCTTATGAGTATTATCATTTATAGTATTGACATCTGTCTTATGAGTATTACCATCTATGGTATTGACATCTATCTTATGAGTATTGCCATCTATGGTATTGACATCTATCTTATGCGTTTTACCATCTATGGTATTGACATCTATCTTATGAGTATTACCATCTATGGTATTGACATCTATCTTTTGAGTATTACTATCTATGGTATTGACATCTATCTTATGAGTATTACTATCTATGGTATTGACATCTATCTTATGGGTATTGCCATCTATGGTATTGACATCTATCTTATGAGTATTACCATCTATGGTATTGACATCTATCTTATGAGTATTACCATCTATGGTATTGACATCTATCTTATGAGTATTACCATCTATGGTATTGACATCTATCTTATGAGTATTGCCATCTATGGTATTCACATCTATCTTATGAGTATTACCATCTATGGTATTGACATCTATCTTATGAGTATTACCATCTATGGTATTGACATATATCTTCTGAGTATTGCCATCTATGGTATTGACATCTATCTTATGAGTATTACCATCTATGGTATTGACATCTATCTTATGAGTATGTATTACCATCTATGGTATTAACATTTGATTATAGTTACATTATTGCTATATAATCATCTATGGTTGTATACCATCTATGAGTCTCTCCCCATGAGGAGATGAAATTGTTCCCGATTCTCCCATGTAGCAAGTTAGGGTTTATCTAAGTTAGCTAAGTTTATTTCTAACCAATATACAGTAACTGAGTATGCAATACTAGACGATTATATATATATAATACACCATATTACCTCACAATGAATCCATAGTAACGCATAGTAGGCCACAACTGCAGGGTTTAACTCCCTGCAGTCGATGCCGTGCCAGATATATGGACTTCATTGAGCCGCCCCAAGCCTTGCCTGAAACCATCACCTCTCCCACACAGAGTCGAGGCCCAACTTGAGAGCCTGGTGATGTTGCTGGTGATGGTGATGGTGATGGTGATGATGATGATGATGATGATTATCATGGTGATGGCGATGACACATAATTACATATATATATATAATATATGTACGCTCGTTTCGCACCTTTGAATTCGCTAGGTTGTTGAGACAAGAATCAATATCAAGGAATAGTTATCCAATTTATGTTCCCAAGCAAAGTCGTAGTTATCTTCCTTTGAACTTCCGGTGGTGATCAGTGTTTTTTTTGTGATGGACCATGGCTAGCACTCAAAGATGGCCATTTGCATAGCCCCGGAAGACAATCTTCCAAAGCCATCCAAAGCCATCCCTGGCGCTGGCAAGTAGCCTCAAACGCAATGGAAAATCAGAAAATCCCCGAACTGAATGGAGGATTTAATGGGAAAAGCATCAATCACTGGTGGTTTTCCCATGGATTTTCCACCAAGGTGTCACCACCAGCCCATGGCTTTCATGAAATCCGAGGTTTTTCGGGTGGTTCATAACTGGAAATAGAATGCATTAAGATGGATATCATTTGCTCAGTCTATCTAGCTGCTAGTTATCTCAGTCTATGGTTACTGCAATGACAATGTTAATATACCCATGAATGCTTGACATTCCCATTAATAGGAATTAAGTAGTGTTGGTGGTGGTGAATTTAGAAACACATTCATATGTTTTTTTACCATATCGATTGTTTCTTCCCAGTCGTATTGATGCATTGACATGGGAAAATCGCACGAACCATTGAACGATTCATGGGAATTGTTGATTTTATCTGTGATATCCCATGAATCATTTTCTTCAATGTTCAGAAAATCCCCATTAAACCTACTGACTATAGTCATTGGTTCAACCCATTTATAGATAGACTCCCCATTAGAATCTCCATTTCAAAGTTCCAACTTGGCATCCCAACAGCGTGACCGTCTTTCCGCTAGGCTTAGCCTCCACGGGCATAGTGGCCTCAGTGGAGATCAAGGGACGTTGGCAAAAGGCGGGGCGATGGTCTACGACACACATCTATAGATCATATATATCTGGGTAAATTATAACGACCTCACTGCGACCTCACTGGGAATGATGGTTAGTAAGGGAAATCATCCCCAAATGGCCGAACTATTCAGGTTAGTGACATATTATAATTTACCCAGATATATGATTATATATATATGATTGTGATATATTGTGATTTTTTTTTTACATAATTCCATTTACGCACCTGATATGAATATATGTATATTGATTTAACGTATGTGTAACTACATGAGAATGGTGTGTATATACATATATAGATGTATACAATATATATATGTACATACACAATATATATATATACATACACAATATATATATATATACACAATGTATATATATATATACACAATATATATATACAATATATATATATATTTGATTGCATGTATAAATGGAGCTAAAACCCCAATGACCTTGAAGGTGTTGACCCATGGAAGATTTACCAACCAAAGCGAGTCATTTGGGTTCTAGGTAGACACTCTGAGTATACGTAAATATATACACAATGCAAGTGATTAAATATATACACTATGTTTGTAAACGTATCATACCTGCATGCACTCCATACATCCATCGATCCAGGATGCCCAGGTGCCTGGGTTTTCAGGCACAGGAATTTGAGTATTGGAAAGGCACTTTTCGCTTGGTTGGGGCCAGACCACGGGCACAAACTGCAGGCATTTGCCATGCACATATGGATAGATAGATAGGTAGATAGATAGATAGGTAGCTAGGTAGGTAGGTAGGTACATAGATAGATAGATAGATAGATATATATATATATATTCATTTAGTTGTATACATGTATTTAGATTTATAGATAAATAGATTGATGGACAGACATATTAAAATTTAGAAAGATACTTCGTTAGCGACCTGGGAATTTGTACAAAACAAAATCAGACGAGTGCGCCCACTGCAGGGTTTCATCGAGTTAGAGGTCATCATGCCCAAAGAGCAACGAGTGACCAGCAAGGGGCCTTGACTCCTGATGTTAAACTGCTTGGTGACGATTTGATGTAACCAATCAGGGTTTAACCGATGGGTGATTTACTGTGTATAACTGATTTGACCAAGGTATAATGGATTGAAGTGGACACAAATACTTTGACCCTCAAACTATAGTGTTCTAGTTTTTCTAGCCACTTCTAGGAGGTTGGTGAGGTTTGGCATAATGGTGCCAAAATGTGCCAAAAGTTCTTTAAAACCAATTCTAAGTATGCTATTGTGGAAGATGAAACCAGTTGAAACATATCTCAATATCTTCAGGAATGGCAGCATCGAGTCTGAGTGGCATGACTATTTGAAAGATCTTGCAACATGGGGATGGAACCAAGAATGGGATGATGTTGTTTTTGATGTTGATGATGATGTTGTTGATGATGATGATGCTGATGCTGCTGCTGCTGGTGGTGGTGATACCGAATTTTCAGGCAAGCCCCCTTTCCCTAGATATGCTGAATTGTCTGAAGAGGATTTGTTGTTTTCCCACTGATTATGTGCTGGGAACAAATTACTGGGCATGTGATTTTTCCTTCTGTACGGAAGTAGAAGTAAATCCACTGGTCAATTTTAATTTTCCCGGCTCTCTTTGTTAGAATAACCTTGAATACCCATTTGGCAGATATGCCCCATACACCCTCTATAGGTGATTTTCCCATTAAACCTTGATGTGCAAAGGATCTCCATTTCCACGTTGACCGGAGTCGGAGGCTATATCCCCATCAAAAATCTCCAGAAAATATCCCTATGGAACATCCCATCTCATCCCATAAGATCACCCTGAATGAATGAATTCCCAGGTAGTGGTGTGAGTGGCAGCCTCTTCGAGTTCGTTAGCGAAGTCCGTGCACGGCTGAGACTCGAGCAGACGATGCCTCAAATGGGACTGGGACGACCGTTGTTATAAAATGATAATATATATATATGTATAAAGCATATGTTTATACATATGTATGTATGTATGTATGATTATGTATGTATGTATGTATGTATGTAATGTAATGTAATGTAATGTAATATAATGTAATGTAATGTAATGTAATGTAATGTATGTATGTAATGTATGTAATGTATGTAATGTATGTAATGTATGTAATGTATGTAATGTATGTAATGTATGTAATGTATGTAATGTATGTTATGTATGTAATGTATGTAATGTATGTAATGTATGTAATGTATGTAATGTATGAATGTATGTAATGTATGTAATGTATGTAATGTATGTAATGTATGTAATGTATGTAAAGTATGTAATGTATGTAATGTATGTAATGTATGTAATGTATGTAATGTATGTAATGTATGTAATGTATGTAATGTATGTAATGTATGTAATGTATGTAATTTATGTAATGTATGTAATGTATGTAATGTATGTAATGTATGTATGGATGGATGTATGGATGGATGGATGGTATGCAGTATGTAGGATGATGCATGTATGCATGTATGCATGTATGCATGCATGTATGCATGTATGATGTATGCATGTAGTATATGCATGGATGCATGTATGTATGTATGGATGTATGTAATGTAGGTAATGTAGGTAATGTAGGTAATGTAGGTAATGTAGGTAATGTAGGTAATGTATGTAATGTAGGTAATGTATGTAATGTATGTAATGTATGTAATGTATGTAATGTATGTAATGTATGTAATGTATGTAATGTATGTAATGTATGGAATGTATGTAATGTATGTAATGTATGTAATGTATGTAATGTATGTAATGTATGTAATGTATGTAATGTATGTAATGGATGTAATGTATGTAATGTATGTAATGTATGTAATGTATGTAATGTATGTAATGTATGTAATGTATGTAATGTATGTAATGTATGTATGTATGTAATGTATGTATGTATGTAATGTAATGTAATGTAATGTAATGTAATGTAATGTAATGTATGTATGTATGTATGTATATTAATTATACATCTGTATATTATACATATGTAAATATATTGACCTAGCCATACTTAACCAGTATTTTTTTGCAGGGTACCTAAAATTGGCTATGGAAAAAGGGCTTCTTGCCAGACATGGCCATGTTTGGTGTCCTTTTTAACTGGGTTAGTTTTCAGTGGTATTTTAGGAAACTCACATGTTGGAAATGGCGTTTGGCAAACTGACGTGTTTTTTTTGATCGGATCCAAACTTTGGAAATTGAGATGGACCCCACCGGAAGATCCGCGTGGTTTTCTCAGGAGACCATCGGATGTGGTATGGGGCCAACAATCCAAGTGGTTCTTTTCCGGAGGCTGTTATTTAGATTGATTATGATTGTTATTTGCCTCCCTAAATAACAGCTAAAAACAATCATCAGTTATCATGGTATTTTGATTGTATTTAGATGGATTATATTTGCTGATGATACCATGATAACTTCCATGCTCTCCCTTTACCTCCACGGGCCCCATGGCCCCATGGGTACGAGTGAGTTCAGGTGCAAAGATCTGGCAGGAGATTGGACAAGTGGTTCTCAGTGGGGCGGCCTTGAGGATGGTTGTGAGCCCTTACAGATGGCCTTTTTATCCCCTGTTGATTGGTTATTATAGGATTTATAGGTGGTTTTAATGACTGGTTTATTGGGGATCTGTTGACTACTACCTATCAATCCGGGATAACATCGGATAACTATCAACATGATCAACCAACCAGTATTGGGGGAGACTTGAGGTCTAACAGCCATGATGCAACAAAGCCCCTTTACACATTTGCACGTGGACCCAGGTGTCAACAGAAACTGAGTGAAATCAACAGAAACGGGGCTCACAGCGTGTCACACCTTCCTGGCACAATCTGCACAGGTTATCTGTTGACATAGCGAACTCACCACCTGATGGTCCACCTGATGGTAAATCATGGCAAGGGAAGCCACCTCAAGATGAGCTAAAAACAGGCTGCTGTCGCTGTCACCGTGTGTCACCGTGTGTCACCGTGTGTCACCGTGTGTCACCGTGTGTCACCGTGTGTCGAGGTCAGAAAAGTGGTCGCTGCGATTGGCCCAAGTATGACAACTTCCGTTGCAAGTTCCGCTTCAATGCCAGGTGCCAACGGTTCCCACGGTGCATGGCAGGGTGTTGAAATTTGGGACTGAAGCATCAAAAACGGCAAGGCTCCACCAAGCCAAACACGGGGTATAGTGGATGCAAACAGTCAGTGAAACGGTTGATGGTTTCCGCTTTGAACTGACAATTTAAGTATGTTGGATACGATTAGTTGTTGAGTTGCTCACTTTGAATCCCTAAAAATACTCCGACGTATATCTGGAGGATGGGGTGCAATATGTTTGCCCAAAAAAGACGTAGCCGTTCATCAAGAACATGTTTGTCCAAGAGCAGGGTACCCCAACACGTTTGAGAACCTCAGTTTTACCTCTTAGATTATTACCATAACTTGGGGTGTTGACGGTATTCGGTATTCGGGTATTTTTGCGTATGTTGATGCAAACTATGTAAGTGGAATTGTCTACTCAAGATCAGAATGCAGAACACGCTGGTAGCGTGGTTGTGGCTTTGTGGTTCTAGTGTGGTCCTACTTCAAACGAGTAGGACATAGTAGGACTATTCGTTGAAATTGACCATCCAATGGAAACGAGATCACATGGCTATGATCAAGACATATCAAAACCAACCAACCAAATATTCATCATATCCTATCATATGATGATGCCGCGTTATGCGTTGAAATGATTTGGAACATTCCAAAAATGTATCGTACAATGTATCTTACAATGTATCCACTAATTATCCACTAATTATCCACTAACTATCCAATAATTTTCATATAACTTATAACTATCATCATAATTATGGTTCAGTTTAACTAAATATCCTATCATTAATGAAAGTGATGCTTCAATAAACAGCTGTGAGGATGTATAAACCATATATCCTCTTTGGTATAAACGTCGCTTTTTTTTCAATGTGCTACCTGAAATATTTGTTAGTTAATCACAGCCGTTGATGGCGATTCACCAATATTAACCAACAATATAATCCATATCAATCAATATAACCAATATGAAGCCAGAATATAACTTCATATAACCAATAAATCATCAAATTAAGTTTCAGTTGCTGTTTTTTTTTCCCTTGATGTCATGAGTTCCAGCCGAAAAAAAAAAAACGACCTGTCAGGCGCCAGGCGATGGCCTATGCGCAGATCTCCTTCCACACCTTCCAGGAACTGGGTGATGCATCAGTTTACTGATGGCTTTCACCATGAAAAAGGAAGAAACAATGCCATGAAAAATGCTGTTTTGTGTAAGGTTAAAGCATCATGTGAATCATGTGTGTGAATCATCGAAAATGGAGAAACATGTTCAGTGTTGTTAACGTTAAACCATGTGAAACCATCAAGAGTGGTGGTAAAAACCATCGACAATGGCAGGTTTCGCGTCAAAAAATGATGGTTTTACCATCCAAAATTATGGTTTTGCAATTAAAAATGAATGTTTACCACCATTTTTTTGCGAGCACAAATCGTGGTTTTGCAATCACAAATGGTTGTTTGACCATCCAAATGTTGGTCTCACCATCAAAAACAATGGCAATGGTTTTAGAATCAGACACCCTGGTTTTGACGTAACATTTGTGGTTTTACCATCCAGAATGGTTGTTTACCATCAAGAGGGCGGTTTTACGTTAAACCATGTTAAACCATCAATCGTGGTCACTTTACTATCAAAAATTGTGATGTTATAATCCAAAATGGTTTTAGCGTCAGAAATCCTGTTTTTAGCATCAAAAATGGTGGTTTAACCAACAGTTATGGTTTTAGCATCAGAAATGGTGGTTTAAACATCAAATGTGAATGTTTCACCATCAAGAACCGTGGTTTTACCATCATAAATGCTGGTCTCACCATAGAAAATGGTCTACAGTTTTACGATCAAAAACGGTGGTTTGACCATCAAAATGGTGGTTTGGCCATCAGAATTGTGCTTCTACTGGCTGTAGGTAGGCATATATAATATTCTAATCCCTACCCCCTATTAATAAACGGCCCCACACTCCCCTAATATAGAAGAATCGTTAATTTTAGGATACATTCTATTTATTGGGGTGCGTTTCGGAGTCGTGTATTGGGTTGACAGGTAGAGGGTGGAAACAGTTGTAGTCATATGCTTGGCAACTTTACACGTTGCATGTGCGCTAATGTTGGACAAAATATGACAAAATAGTGAGTTGCTCCATGCCCTCCCATGGTCATTGTTAATAACTTGTGATTGATTTGCACTTGGCTACAAGGTTTGGTAGGGCCATTGGGATTTACGCTCATATGCTACTTTTGATATATTTGAATCTTTTTGGTGGCTCTTCTAACTTATTTCTATCTTAAGTTGGTTAAAAAATTGGGCAAAACAAAGTGACAAAACTGGATGACACCGACGTAGTCTTGCAGCTCTGAGCCCCTAATATATGTATATATATACCGTATTATACCCTCTGGTAAACTAACATAGCTATTGAAAATGGCCATTTATAGTGGATTTTCCCATTAAAAATGGTGATTTTCCATAGCTATGTTAAATTACCAGAGGGTAATCTTTGCAAGTGCAATTGCGTTCATCTCCCATGGTGTTGCAAAGTCTACATTTTCATTTTGCTTGCAAAGGCCACCCAATCCAATCAACAAACTAAGCATTTGCCTTGAAAATTGTCGAATATTGTCGATGGTGATGTCAGAAGGGGGATCTGTGTTAGCATAGAGATTTACTTCGATTATTTCATTCGTCATTAGGTATTCTTGAAGTATATGAATACATGCAATACATATGTATACTGTATACATATATATATAGAGAGAGAGATAGTGACCTTGCTGAATACCATGGGCCTACTCAGGAAAACACATTAGAGCTCCACCTCTATTTTACTGTACTGCTATATATATATACATGTTATATATATATTATGTCACAAAGCAAACTGACGCAAGAAACAAATAGGTAGCAGGAACAGAGTAAACACGAGGAACCATAGAAAACAAATCACAACAGAACAATATGAACATAAAGTCATTAACTCGTAACAAAAACACTGCGTTACATTCAATTGTGGGGAACAATGGGGCCTACATTTTTTGCAGCTCCTCATTTGACCCTCAAATATTTTGAGGGTTTGAACATCAAGAATGTAATTTAAGCATCAAAACTGCCGGCTTACCATAAACATGCAATTTTACCATCCAAAATTGTGGTTTTGCCATCAACAATTCAATGATGACCATCAAACATGATGCAGTGACCATCAAATACGGTGGTTTGACCATCAAACACTATGATTTAATCATCAAAAATTGTGGTTTGTCCATCCACAGTGGTGTGTTTACTATCAGAACTGATAGTTTTAGCATCAGAGATAATATCAAATATATAATGGTTTCATCAAAATTTTGGTTTGACAATAATAAATTCTGGTTTGACCGCCAAAGTTGTCGGTTTGACCATCAAAAGTGGTGGTTGGACCATCAACCTTGAGGGTCTTACCTCAAAATCGTCGGGTTTTACCATGAACATTTGTAATTTTACATAATGTTACATAATAAACATGCAATTTTACCATCAACAAATTGATTTTACCATCAAAATCAAAATGGTGGTTTGATGATCAAAATTGAGGGTTTGACCGACAATCAATGATGATGGTTTAACCATCAACAAACCATCAAACATAGTGGTTTCAACCATCAAAAACGATGTTTTTTTCCGTGGTAAAAAAAATCATCCGGAAATTTGTGGGTTTCATGTGTGAACATAATATGCCATATGAAAACAATAAAGCAATTCTTCCACCATACCGCTGGTCATCCTCAATGGATCTGGCATACAACCGTTCGCGTGATCCCCGTATGGCCGTGCCATGCCGTGCCTATGGTAAGTTCTGCAGAAGAGGTCTTTTTTGGAGGTTTCAAACGTCGCGTTGCTTCGTTTCGCGTGGCAGGCGTGGCACTTCGTGACATTCAGACGTGTTTTGTAGTGTATCGAAAGTCGTTTTGTGTGGCAGGCGCCATACTTGCGACGTTTTCGCAAGATGAGCTGCAGTTTTCGTGGCAGGCGCAGCACTTTGGACGTGTCCATCGTCATTTTGCGTGGCAGGCGCAGCACTTTAGACGTGTCGTGTTGCGTGTTTTTTGCGAATCGCATTGTGCGTCAAGTGGCGACAAGGTGCAAATTCCATGGCAGGTGTGGCATTTTGTGAGATGTGATGAAAATTGACGAAAGCCTCGCACGAAACATCGATACGAAAGCCCCGCAAGAAACATCGATTTTGAGCTAGCAAATTTTCAGGTTCTAATTAGAAACTCGTAGGAAAACATCGATTTTGAAGCTACAAAGTGTCAAAATTAGAGGAAGTCTCGCACGAAATGCTCGTTTTGATGCTCCCACGTGTCTCGTCTCGAGTCTCTGGCTTTCCTGTGGCCTCGCCGTGTCTATCAGGGAAGCTGCAAAACCTCTCCTTTTCGAATGTTTCCAAGCAGGTTGTCATGTCGTTTTGTGCGGCAGGCATGGCACTTCGTGACATTCAGACGTGTTTTGTAACGTGTCGAAAATCGTTTTGTAGCAGGCGCAATGCTTTTGCGAAATTTCACAAAGTTGCAGTTTTCGTGAAAGTCGCCGCATTTTGACATTCCAACCTGTTTGATAACGTGTCGAAGCCGAAGGTCGTTATATGCGGCAAGCGCAATACTTTGCGACGTTTTAACAAGAGGAGTTGCAATTTTCGTGGCAGTCGCAGCATGTTGGAGATCTCTGTCGTCATAATTTTGCGTGGCAGGCGCAGCACTCCACACTCCACACTCTACACGTTACACTCCACACTTTACACTCCAGACTTTACACTCTACACTTTACACTCTACACTTTACACTTTACACTCCACACTTTACATTTCACACTCTACACTCCTCACTCCACTTCACACTCCACACTTCACACTTTACACTCCACACTCTACACTACACTCTACACTCTTCACTTTATACTCCACACTTTACAGTCTACACTCCACACTTTACACTTTGCACTGTACACTCCTCACTCCTCACTTCACACTTTACACTTCTCACTCCACACTCCACACTCTACACTCTACACTCCACACTTTACACTTTGCACTCTGTCCTCCCCACTCCACACTTTACACTTCTCACTCCATACTCCACACTCTACACTCCACACTCTACACTTCACACTCTACACTTTACACTGCACAATCTACACTCCACACTCCACACTCTACACTTTCCACTCCACACTCCAGACTCCACACTTTACACTCCACACTCTGCACTTTACACTCCACACTTTACACTTTACACTCTACGCTCCGCACTCCACACTTTACACTTTACACTCGACACTCCACACTTTACACTCCAGACTTTACTCTCCAGACTCTACACTCCACACTCCACACTTCGCACGCCACCTTTTTCCATATTCCACAGTCTACGGTGCACTGGTATGGTAACAGGGGAAAAATGTACAAGACTGTTCAAATAAGTTGTTTCAGACAAGTGTTCTGCATGACTGCATATCCATGTGTTTCGGCATCTGTGCCATTAACATACGTGTGAGCATTCAGGTTCGTGGGCTGCATCTTGTTATATAGAAGCAATCCCTTCCCCGAATAGAATATGAACATTCCCCAAAACAAAACCTGTTTTTTGTGTTGGATCAGGTTGGATCGAATCATTTGGGGCCATATGGTGATATTTGATACTGAGATGGGATTACTGACAACTGAATTTTGTAACAGAAAGGAATTCCAGAAAGGTGACTCGACTCCCCAAACATAATGAACCGACCAGTTGAGCCTTTGGGATTTACGTGTGCATTGTATGGATGTTTTTTGGGATATCTGGCATATGATGGGATGAATCCATACTAAGATACGATTCATGCCTTGACTCATCCCCACATGTGCCGTGGTCAAAAACTGGATGACATTAATCGATATTGGGGGATGCTCATCAGATATTCCATCATACCCCATGTACATCCATTTACCATGCCGTGACTGTGTCTCATATCATCATATCGTATCATCCCATTAATGTATATATTATATGATATTATATGTATATATATCATCCAATTATTCAACATGTTCTAACTGAAATCATTTGGAATCGCTTCAAGTAGGGTAAAACCTGGTGTTATGTCGCGATTGCCACAGGACTTTGTGGTTCCAGTTCAGATTGATAGCAGTGATGACGAGTTCTCCTTCCCAGTTGCCCGGCGGAAAAAAATTATTTTGGTTCATGCAATGTTCAGGCTGGGTTTCCGGGCCATGCGGGAAGTCGGAGAGACAATTCATGGTAAACATATATAAAAATATGATTTGATATGATTTCATGGGGTGGAGATGTTTGGAGTTTGGTCACTGAAAAAAAATATTTACGTGTTTTTTTCCTGACAGTTTCATGGATTTATGGTGGCCGCACTTAAGCAAGAGCACATGGGTCTTCGGTTCGCTGTCCGAAAATAAAGTACCTCCAATGGGATTATCATCATGTTCCCGTTCAAAGAATTGCTAAAAATGTGGGTATCCCCTAGTTTTAGGCAAAATCATTTCCACATGATTGACCAATTGGTGCATATTCATGGCGGGGAGAAAATCATACGGGCTGAGGCGAGCGTGAGAGTGGCCAGAGAACCTCTGGTGCGCACAGGGCAGGGCGAGTTCAACGAATGAGGGGTCCATGGTAGGTGAATGGTAGGTGAATCAGCTGGTGCAAACAATTTTGGCTGGTGAATAGAGGTGATGGCTAATGGATGTTATATAACGGGTCATTGTTGTGTTTTTTGCCGGGAAAATCAGACTCACTGACCATCTACCCTCTGGTAATTTAACGTAGCTATTGGAAATGACCATTTATAGTGGGTTTTCCCAATAAAAAAGGTGATTTTCCATAGTTACGTTAGTTTACCAGAGGGTAAAGATGTTGTTCTTCTTTTTGCAGGGTATCTAAGAATTGCTAATAGCAATGCGCTCTCGGCGAATGAGAACAACCTCATCACCACGTCACCGCAAATAATGCGAAGGAGGGGAACCTCACAACAACATCATTTCGGTCGATATTTCAGTTGTGTAAATCAAGTCAATTCAGAGAGCGCAATAAGTTGGTTTCGGTCAAATATGGTGGTGAGCCCAATGAAAGTTGGGAATTTACCAGCCAAAAAGTCAGCCACGACACCTGCTAAAGATTGGTGAGTAGGTAGATCAATGGCTCTTTTCCATCTACAAAGATCTATCCACCTATCCGACCTATCCTTCCAAGTAACGATATGACTTTCGGGGGTTTTGACATGAAGATGCGAATCTGGAATCAGCAGTTGATGACAACAACTGCATGAATGGTAACCAATGCTAACCATAAAAAGTGTTTTATCGAGACCAGGTCGCACATGGATTCTTTTTTGCGGGTTCAACTCATAGCCAGAGCCATTGGACTCAGAAAAAAGTGACCACTGCTCCATGGCAGGCTGGAACGCTGTCGTGCCAGACCCTCAATGTGAAAGTTCCATGGCTGCAAAGTGACTGGAGAACTTTGATTTGTCACATAGTTGTGCATATAAATTGCATAATATGTATATATATATATATATATTATACACACATATATATATACACATAATGTAGACATACAGATTGTAGACATCTAGATGTACCGGGTAAATATCCTAATAATGGCATAAACGGTTTGCTGTTCAAATCTTACTGGATGTAAAAGGCTATTGGTGTAGAAGCTGCTGCCAGAGCAGTGCTGCGCGCCACAAAGACTCTTTTCCATTGTCCAGATGCTGGATTGCATTCAGTGTCTTATCTTTTTTTTAAAAAAAATACTTGTATTCATATGTGCATGTAATATATACATATATATTATAAATACAAAGGCAGTCTCTCTCTCTATATATATACTCTATTTCTATATATATATACACACTGTATATATATACATACATACATACACCAATAAACAGTCCATACACATACATACCACATACACAAACACGCACACACACACATATATATATATATATTATAACCCGTGCCATATATATATATATATACAGTATTTGTTCAATACACATTTGTATACACCTACACATCATGTCCTTCAATGCTGGTTTTCTGCCAAGACAGCCATGTGAGAAATTGCCAAAACCAATTGGTGGACTTCCCCCCCATTCAGCTGAAGTTAGAAAGGGAAAGTCTACAGATGGCCATATTGCCCACATGTCAATCATGTTTCTCTTTATGGTTGGAACTTTGTATAAAGCCCCGTAACATGACTGCCACCGTGCATAGCAATGACTATAAATTGAACACATAATTGTGTGCCGCAATGCTGGCACCCAGGTGGTCACGGATCCATGTTTTCTACTCCTTCGCAAGCTGTGATAAAGGGGGCTCGTGCCCAAATGTTGATTAACGTCAATGTGCATTTCCACTGACATGCTAATGGTGTATCCGATGTGCTTCAAGATTTCACACACCCCAAAGTGGATACACCAGACTATACACTGCTTTTGTCACATCTTTCTAGCAAAACAACCAACACACCGAAACAATCAGCCATGCTGAGACTTCCTCGCTATCTTGCCAGCCCATCCCTGCATCTCTTCGTTTTGGACCAAAACGAATCTGCCCTCCTTGAGCACTCTTCTCAGTAGACACATTGGAGCACCAACCTTCGTAAGACTATCTACCAGCATTTGATCTGTAGGAATCCATCTGGCTTCTATGTTTTCCTTCTCCACGTCTTGCTTGACTAACAACATCTCTATCGCCAGTCGTTTGTCTTTGATGCTCATGGCCTGTCCATGAAGGTGATCATAGGCAGGTTTCGAATCAATCATCAACGTGATTGGAGTTCTCAATGACCTCAAACCATCTGACTCCAGAGTGTAGTTCTGACATGTAATCTCAGTCCACATGGATCTCATCCATTTCGCTTCTGCTATTGCCCTACTCATAGTCAACAGCTCAGCTCCTAAGGTTGATGACACCTGTCTTTCCTGTCGGAAGCTCCTCCAACGCCATGGAGAAAGTACTGACCACTTGTTGGATCTTAGATTCCTATCCACAGCAGCTATCAAATAACCACCTTGACTTTTTCTGTCAATGGTGTTGGCAAAAGAAGCGTCTGACCAGACTGCGATTTCAACATCCTTTATTTCAATGGGCTTGAACCGAATTTCCATGCCTGCAAAATCGTGTACATGTGCAACAGCTTTGTTGACTGCAATAATGTCTTCGACAGTGGCATTTGCAACTTTCTGCTGCAACAAAGAACACATTCCGGCCAAATCTGGACGACTCCCTGTGACAAGCCAGTTGACTTCTCCTAGGACAGCTCTCATCTGACTCCGTTCTCGTTCGGTCACTTTGCTCTCTCTCTCACGTCTCCTCTCTTTGCTTAGTGCAATGCTTTTGACAGCTTCAGCATATTCTTTCTGGTGCACAACCAACGTACCATCATCCTTTTGTTCCAAAAACTTTCCCAAAAATTCACCCTTGCCTTCTTTCACATGTTTGAACGGAAAAATCTTACTCAGTTCATGAAAAATATTCTCATAAAACCACATGTTACCTCCTATTAACATGTCATCAACATGAACAGAAATACAGCCACAAAGTTCCTTGGTATCCGGGTGACGACTGACAAAAACACAACTGTCCAGCTTACTCTGACTCATGCCAAGTGACACTAGTGTGCGGCTCAACGTATTCCACCATCTTTTGGGGGCATCAACTAACCCATATACCGGTTTCACAAGTTCAATAATGGCATCGCTTTCCACTCCAGGAATGCCATCTTTTGGAACTCGAACCAACACCTTGCCTTGAGCTCTGGACATCGCTTCTCCTCTCAGAAACGCTGCTTCCACATCGGCTATTTTCATTTTCCAGTTCATGCTAGTTATTAGCTGGGCTGTGACTGCAAACCCTTCCATGGACAACGTTGGTGACGCAGTGTTCAGATCCAGCACGTCAGGATCCATGTAACCTTGTACACACCATCTTGCTTTCAGAGTTCCTTCAAGTGTTCCATCGTCTGTAGTGTATACATACCTTGTGCCAAGAACCCTTTCAATTCCTACCTCTTCAACCAACTCCTTAGCAGCTTTTCCTACATGCAGTTTGATCGCTCCAGAGTTCATCATTTTTGACCATTCCTTGGCTTTAGCCAAGTCAAGTTCCTTGAGCTTCTCTGGGCTCAAGGTCTTTGGATTGATTTCCTTGCGACTCTGCTTCTTCATGTTTGTCACAAACACCTCTTCAAATCCTACACCAACTTGCCCATGTCCATGATCATGCTTTTCACTCAACACTTGCACTTCAAGTGCATCGTCAACATCTTCGGCATCGGGTCTCCTAGGAGCATTACTAGGCCTACCAAAGTCAAGAGTATTCAAGTTCCTTCGCAACGCTTCCGTCAACCTAGTCGTTCTAACTGGTGCGTATCCTCCAGGACTCTCAGTTGTCCTCGGTTGTTGAATTACGGACATGACAGGCTCTCTCTCTCTCTTTCGGGCTCAACGCCACTCATGCCACGACCATGACCAACATGTCGACCTACATCATGTGTGTCCATGTCATGCTGATTCATGTCATGCGTGTCCATGTCATGCTGATTCATGTCATGCATCTCCATGTCAACTGCCGGCTCCACCAGTTCCTGTGCTGGCACTCTAGGTGCTTCATTCTGATTTGGAACTGTAGTCTCGGTATCCTCACCGATGTTTTCACTGACAACTCCCATGGGTTCATCATCGGTTTCAAGATTGTCATCATCAAGCTGTCGATCAACAACCTGTGAGGAAACCTGTTGATTGACCTCTGGTACCCAGTTTCCTTCTTCCTGTTCTTGCACAGGAGGATTTTCTCTCAGGTCTAACTCAACAAGATTCCCCGCACCTCGCTCACGGATCATGTTTCTGTGACGTTGCAGATTCTCTGGCAACCATGACATGAGGTTTGCAACTTCACCCTGAACTCTTTTCACCTGTTCAGGTGAGCACCTATACACTTTGGTTCCTAGAGACACTCACACTTTGTTGTGTTGAGTTCCTATGATCCTACCGGGACCATGCCAGTGACATTTGGACTCATTCTGACCTTTTCTCCAAATCATGGCTTCTTGACCAATATGAAAAGGTCCTCTCAATGGTCTGGTCCTATGTCCAATCGCCCTCCTGATTCTCTCTTCGCAGTCTGCCTCTAAGAAGGCCTTTCGTGCAAGCATGCGAATCCTATGAGCTCGCTGATGCATCGTTTCTCCTTGTTCCAGAGCAGACTCAACAGCTTCTGCTGCTTCAACATGCAACAGAGACCCTGGAATTCGAACATCATGACCAATTACATGTTGACTAGGTGAAAAACCCTCTTTTCTAACAAGCGCATTCCGTGCACAAGTGACTTGATCACACACTTCCTCAACTTCACTTTTACTCCCGGGATCCATCTCCATAGCCAACTTTGCAAACGCAACTTTCCACACACCTCCTGCTCGTTCACACAAACCATTTTGCCATGGGCTATAACTTGCAGTGACATCATGTGCTGAGCCATCCCTGCTCAGAGCATCAGTCCATTCCTGACCAAATTCTGGTCCACCATCAGACAGGACTTTCTTAGGAGCTCCGGCCCATCTCTTCCAGTACCTCCTATACGCCTCCCTGGTTCTCTTAACCTCGATGCCTTTCCACAAGGGAACACAAACCTGAAAGTGAGTTGCAACATCAATTATGTTCAACACCTTCAACTTCCTCCATGACAACTCAACCTCAAATGTGTCCACAGCAATCAAGTCGTTGAAGTGCAAGAGCGGTGCAGGCTTTGACACATGATGGGACTTCTGTGCTTGAAACTGATCACACGTAGCACACTTCAATCCCTTCGCAATCTTGATGCACTGCTCTGTCGCTCGTGAACTCTTCAACATGCCAACAAACCGTGGAGTAGATGGATGTCCCAAGTTCTCATGACACCGTTTCAACAACATGGCAATTTTCTTCTCATCTCGTGTGTCCAGCTGTTCAATTGCCAAAACACAGTGAACTGCATGACTAGTTCTTCTTTCTTCTCTATCCCTGAGAAACCCAGTCAGCAACGCATTCACCATTTTCCGGGGATACTCTTGAGCCAAACGTGTCCTAGCAACCCATTTTCCATTTACCTTGACGCTACCAAACAAGGGTTCATGCTCATGACTCTTGTCACACAGTTTGTTCATCTCCGCAGCAACATGTGGACTATTAGTGAGTAAACATGTGCTCTTCCTATGCAGTTTCCTACTCACTCTGTCTCTCAACCCAAACATGCACTGGTCCATGACAACTTTGAAAACCCCTGACAACTGCTCAATTTGTTCTACCTTCTCGTGTTTCCATGATTTCGCCCCTTTTGGATGCTCAAATACAAAAACATCTCCCCTATCCCATTGATCCTTACACAACATCATAGCGAATTCCAAAAACTCATTAGCTTCCTTCATGTCATGATGCCATGTTTCAGATTCTCGGTCCTTACGCAAACTTTGTAAAGGGGAATACATCCTACATGGGGGACACACCAACAGAAACTTGGGTTTCCTAACTGCCAACTCCTGACGGACGCGCGCTCTTTCTTTTTCATCGGACAGGTCGGTTCCAGTGATCAAATCATATGTTGGACCACACTTCAACCCCACAGCCTCTGCTGCAGCACTTACTCGTGGCGCTGAAAACACTTCGGCTACTTCAGCCTCTGACAAGTGATGCTGGCTAATAATCATCACATCGCACTTTTCCTGTCGGGCTTTTCCTCAAGCTCATCTAATCCAGCTTTCAACACTTGGCATTCCTCTGGCGTCAGTGACTTCTCTACTCCTTGGGCTCCAGAACATGGCGAAACATCTTCACTGTCTCCTGAATGCCCATGATCTCGGCCACCTTGTTCATTTTCTCCAGCATGATGGTGTCGGTCCATTCCAGGCACTCTACAATTGCCTCCCACTGTTTCTGGACATAGGGATCGACTTCGTTGGCCAGCATTTCTTTGACCTCGTCGTCCCATTCCATCTCGTGGCCTGACATCTCGTTGATCCATCCAGAACCTTCTCTGCCGCGTCGACGACCTTCTTCTGGTGGCATTTCGGTGCTGCTGTAGCCCCCGGATTTCTTGGCAATCATCTTGGGACTCGCTGCACTCTTTGCGGTCAGACCCTTCTTCACAATGGGATGCTGTGAGTTCTTCTTGTAGTCCTGATTCTCCACAATGCGCTTGGTCTTCATTTGATCCCGCATTTCCACATACAGGCGATACCTGCGCATCTCTTGTCCTGATGTCTCTGCCTTCACATTGTTCCTCACCCACTTCACATGCTTCTTGTCGGTGGTGTATGCCTCGGCCATGGTGCTCTTGTTCTGGTACTTGCCAGCTTTCATCATCTCTTGGCCCGATACGGGTACTTCTGGTTCGTCTTCGCTGCAATCGCTCAGGCGGTCCAGCAGTTCCGCTGTCACCGTGATCTCCTCTGTGAAGTCCAGCGTCTGCATCAGCTGCTGCGCCAGCGCAGACATTTGCACTCCTCTGGGATGATACATGGCAATCTCTGCTGTCCAACTCTGGCTCCTCTATCTTTTCTGGCCCTTGATCCACTGACGGCTGTCTTGTCACTTGTTCACTTGGCACGATGGGAATGGCATAGTGGCCCTTCTCCGTCTTTCCCATTGCAACTTGCTGATTGATTCTTTTAAACAACATGACATCCCTCTCAGTATCAATAACACAACCCAAACACTTCAACAGTTCCTTTGACAAAAGCAGTGGTGTGCAATGGCCTGGCTCAGGCAACACAGCAGCACTGATAATCAGTCGACGATTCCCTATCATGACTGGAATTCTTGCTACTTGTGATGATCGAAGCAGCCCAGCATTCCCGAAACGAAACTCATTGCTTTCATCAGATCTAGAAACCTTGAGACCCCTATCTCTCAACCTAGACTCAAGCTGCGAAAGCACATAATCCCCAATGAGCGTGCGTCGACACGCAGTGTCGGGAACTGCATGGGTGTCAAGCCCGGCTACAGGCTCACTTGTGGCAAAACTCGGCTGCGCCCCCTCACTCACTATTTCGAGAACATCCTTCTCGTACTTGACCAACATTTCCTCGTGATCCACCTGGGTCGCGGCGATCAACTTGCCGTGGTCCTTCATCGCGTCAACCTTGAACTTGGTCATACCAGTCCACTGGTAGTTCATTTTCTGGTGTGGCACTTTTGCAGTGTGGTAGTTGTCACATATTTCCTCCACTGCTCCTGTCTTCACATTCTTCATGACTGTGACGCGATCTCCGGTCAAGCTCTTCTCATCCACCGGAATATCCCGGACTCCATGTGGTGTGAACATGCCTTTTCTCACCGTCTGGTGATTTCGAGTCAGCCACATAGTCTTCTCATCATAGCTCCATTCATCCTTCCGGCCTTTGCGACCATTCAACACGTCATTCTTTGACATCGTCTCTGGGCCTGGCTTCTGAATCTCAGACTCATCAAGGATGTAGCTCTCAAAGATCTTCTCCCCGTCCACCATCTCTTCAATGATGTTGACCTCTTGGGAAGTTCCTGTCTTAGGAGCCACCTTCTTGCCTGAGTTGGAGCTCTGCGCTTTCAAGGGACATTCCTTCTTCCAATGCCCTGTGCGACGGCAATGATGACAGCGTGTCTTCTGTTTCAAGAGTTCAATCCGGCCTCTCACTGAGCCCTCCAGTTTCCATTGTTCTGGTCCTCGACCAACTGGCTTGTATCCTCGTGACATCTTCTTTTCCTGCATCTTTTTGCGAACATTGGCATATGTCTCGAAGATCTCCAGGGCATCTTCAGACTCATAGTCAGAGACCTCGTGAAGTTGATTTGAGATCACTTCCATGACTTCCGCTGGTTCTTCAACGGAAAAGGCTTCTTCCGGTGTTCCAGCTTGTCCATCGACTTCTGTCATCCTTTCCTCGCTGGCCAGGAAAACATCCTTGTCTTTGGACTTGATGTTGCTGCTCCCCTTGCCATTGGGAAACACTGCCTTCAATGCTTGAACAACTTCAGCATACTTCAGAGAACCCTTGGTCGAAGTCATGACTAGAGCCTCCGAGGTGCTGTCGAGAGCTAGCTTTCTAAGCACAATCCAACCACGTACCTCATCCGGAAGTTCTATCTTGTGTCTCTGAAGACCTCGATATGCTGTGTCCACCCTGGTCACAAAATTCCGGTAGGTCTCGTTGGGCTTGATCGTTGCAGCATAGAAGTACTCCTTCAAACATCTCTGCATCTCATCCTTGTCCAACTCCTTGTACTTGTCATCGAGCACCTTGAAGACTTCCTTATACCCCTTGTCAGAGGTGATCGTGTGAACATCAAGATGCTCTAGTGCCTCTTCTGCTTCGCCAGCAACATGCTCTAACAGTCTAGGACCCCATCGAGATTCTGGGACTGTTGTGGGCAATCCCATGAGGTACAGCTCTGCTTTGCGTCGCCACCGACGATAAAGAGAAGCATCACTTCCGTCAAATGTCTCTAAGGAATTTCTTTTGTCTTGACCTTCTTCTTTGCCTCCACTCATGACCTGCGCTGAAGCTCCACGGCACTGCCTTCAAGATCCTCAACGTACCTGAACGCTGCTGACCTCTTGGCAGCTCCGCTACCACCTGTGTGCCGCAATGCTGGCACCCAGGTGGTCACGGATCCATGTTTTCTACTCCTTCGCAAGAAGTGATAAAGGGGGCTCGTGCCCAAATGTTGATTAACGTCAATGTGCATTTCCACTGACATGCTAATGGTGTATCCGATGTGCTTCAAGATTTCACAATAATAGAAAAGAACTGATGCAGCATGACAGTATGGAATACACGCACTATTCCTACAGCACACTGTCTTTGAGCATTCCTTCGCCAAGGTCAGGACCAACTTTATTCGATGTCCAGCTGTGATCTTAGGCCTCTGGGGCAAAAGATGGAAAGACTTGCGCACCAGTGGAGAGTTTGTTTGTGCAAGTGCAGGTGCCATGGGTGTCCATGGGTGGCCATGGGTGCCATGGGTTGCGATAGTTCTGAAGCCACCAGCGGCTGGATATGACTGGATGTTTAGTGTGAGGGGACCCTGATTTCCTGAAAAATGTTGGAGGACACAAGTGTTTGAAATGGTTGGGTGGCTTGATTGTCATCTGAAATTGTTGAGGCTTTGACACCTATCATACTTGATTGCAGAATTGTTGCATTATGGGTGACTATTTTTCATATTTTGATATGGCGGTCATCGCCAATTTGATTGAAATGTGACATATTCATAATATGTATTCACATATGCGAATACTAGTGAGATAGTGCCCTTGAATTTCTGAATACTGCACTTGCAAGTGTCTATGTGTGGCCTTACCCCCCTGAAACATGGCCCCACAGAAGTGGGGATTTGGAAGATGGTATATATATATATGGTACATGCTTTCTCTAAATGACATATGTAAAGGAAACTTTCCTTTTCTATAGAGCCAAACTAGCCAATTAGCAATGATCCAAGAGATGGTGCCGCCAAAAATGACAGGATCCAGATTTGGATGGCAGCGGGCTAAGCACACAAAAAGATGTGGAAAGCCCATGGTTCCCTACAAAAATGTTCTTCAACTGTTGGTGTACAGGAGGCTAACAGCGGCTAACAGCATGGCTAAGTCAAGCCACACCTCTCCCCAAAGGCTCCTGATTTCGAGGTGGGACAAGTTTTTGAAGAAGCGACCTGGTACAACGCTGAGTTTGGCGAGGCTGGGATGGGCTCTGCCGATGAACTGGTCATGTTTACTTTGGGAGTGTCCTCCGGTGTCAAACATGGCTAAATGGAAAATCCCCGAAGTCAGTGGAGCTTTATAGCTGGGAAATCCGCTGTAAATGGTAGATGTTCCATTGCCACATTTGGTTACAAGAGGGTAGCATATTTTCACCATTTTGAACTATGCGCAAATATCGATCTTCATGATCATACTACCAACGTGACAACTGCAGTCCTGAAGAGCAGATTTCGGGCAGGAAGTTGTCAAGAGAGGCAACAAGGGTCCTGAAATTTTCCAGGAATGAACCCAGAATCAGGCATGAACTCGGATCCGGCTGTGTTCCAGGCTTTTAACAATCCTAATCAATCCTTATGGAACTTTAGGATAGCTGAATATATGCAAGAAAGATGCGGAATGGCTGGAGCAGTGATATTGATGATGGTGAAATGATATTAAAATAGTATATTTATTCATCCTTTTCATCTTAATCTTACTCCCCTTCCTCATCATCCTATTGACACGCATGACCTTGGCAGCACAAATTTGTTGGCTGTCGCCAGGGATCTCCATGGGGCATCGACATTTCGAAAGATGGCTTGCATGGCGATCACCGAGAGACTCCTGGGCCGAACGGAACCATTTGGTAATGATGCATTGGTTGGTACATGCCAAGGGATGCCAAGGGTATCATTGTTTCCAAACAATTGGATTTACCCAGCCAAAATGGGGCTTCAATATGCTTCAACCATCAAACATAATTATCGAGAAAACTGATCCAATCGAGGATGAAAATGAGTAGTGGATATAATGGGGATTTCCAAAACAGACATGAAGGTGATTAGCCGGTTGAAACGAGGGTTTGATCATACAAAATATGCATGCAACCAATGAGAATTTGGAAATAGGTATGTCCGAAAATAGGGTATAGGCCTATTCTTACTGTTCTAATTTAGAAAATGTTCTGAAGCACCTGCATTTTGGGGTATATCATGATCCTGTTCTCAGGCAAACCCTCATGGAAAGGCTGCCATTGAGACCAACAAAAATGGAGAAATGGAGAAAGTCTGCGGTTTGCCTGCCATATTTTGACATGATTTTAGACAGTGGACCAATCCAATGGACCTGCCCACAAACATGGGAGTTGATGCCGAAAAATGAGGATTTTTTGGTGAGAAGAATTGGTGTTCTTAACCAGCAAAGGTTGATGTTTGCCAACAAGCAAACATCATGGATATCAAACAACTGATGTTTTTTCATAATAATTTGACCCTAAGAATTTACAACAAGATGATGCAACATGGAAACGTACAGCACTGTATGAACTAAGTCCTGGTAGTTGGTTGTCTGCATGCAACGAAGCCTCAAAATGGGAAGATACCTAAGATACCTTGTGTACAAGTTTAGGTGCCATTGTTCAAATTTAGGTTCCATTTTCTTTTGAGGGAGGAGCAATATGTCCTCACCATGGATGGAACACATGGCTGAATGCTCACCGGCTGCTGTGTTCAAGGTCTGATCCTATTCTGGGTGAATGAGCTGCTCACAGCATTAAAATGTATTAAATCATATTAAATCACTTGGGGGATGGTTTTTATTCTTATGTATAAATATATATATATATGTATGTGTGTAATCAATATCTATTTTTTTTACCACCACTATACCAGCTATTTCTGCGTAGAGTTCGCTAAAGCTTTACCCCCCCGGATGATCGACTTGCATTTTATCGAGGATCGATGAGCTCTTGGCGGAAAAGATGGCCCGAACGGGATTGGAACCCGCGAACATTCGGCTCTATGAATTTGACAACAAGGAAACCTGGGTGTGTGGGGGAGTCTAGCCACTAGGAAACATGACATATAGACTTACTAAAACATATATATATATATTATGATATGATATAATGTGTTATAGATACAGAATTAAGAAGCCACGAAGCCATGAAGCCATGAGTTTGTCCACAATTTTCACTGATGTACTCTCAGAAGGGATTCAGCTAGCCTCAGATTGGATGCTCAAATCATTCCTTTTTGCTGCACCATTTGGGGGTTTCCAGAAATGGGGGTACCCAAAATGGATGGTTTATAATGGAAAATCCATCTATAAATGGATGATTTGGGGGTAACCCTATTTCAGGAAACCTCCATGTAGTTTCAAGAGTTTCAACTTCAAAAAAACTTGTTAAAGGATAGGTGCTTTAGCTGGATCACCGCAGATCATGATGGGATCCATTCAACCAACAAATGGGATTGGGTCAAAAAATCCATAATGCCTAGATCATTTGACATGTAGCCATAGAAGATGAAAATTGTTGGTCACATCCCACAGATATCCTTATGATCTTCCCATGTAAATCCATATCATCCATGTAAAACATGAGTTTCCCATATTTTTTCCATGAAATCCTATGATTTTCCCATGATGTGGTCAGCCCTTCCAGGCAGTGCTGGAGTTCCTGAGCCATCTGCACGATGACGCTTGGGAAAAAACGCACAAGGATTGGACAGATGAAGAATAGATATGGATGGAAAATATAAGCATTAATACTGGTTAATGATGGTTCATAGTATGGTTAGAGTGAACTTTTGGTGCTGTGTCAATGAGCACAAATCAAGAAGTGTAACATCAGAATTCACATCCTTTAGCTTCGCACTGGAGGCGCGTCTTTTGGGACCAAAACTTGCTTTGCTACCGAATCTGGTAGCGGGGCTTCGCGCTCCAGGGATTTGTGGTAGGACCCCACGGTCGTAGCGTACCTGGTGTCCCCCTTTGCATGTGCGCTTCTGCGCTCGCTCTGCTGCTGGCGCTGATCTTTCGCTCTGGCATTTTGCGGCTGCTGTGCTGCGCTGTTTCCTGCGTCCTGATCGAGCCCTACGTCACTTGCTCGCTGTGCACGGTGGACAAGGTCTATAGCGGTTGCTCTGGTATTTTGTGCATCACTGAAGAGCTCTACGGCCATTGCTCTTTGTGCATCACTGAAGAGACCTACGGCCATTGCTCTTTGTGCACTGTTGAAGAGACCTTCGGCACTTGCTCTTTGCATTTCACTGAGGAGTCCTACGGTACTTGCTCGCCTGGCTGCTTCGGCGACTTCAGCACTTGTTTGGGCCACATCAGTGACGAGATCTACGACTTGAAACCAGCTGAGAAAGGAAACAGTGAACAACAGCATCCAGACCCTGCACTCACCCATTGCTTTGTGTGTAGCACGTGGACAGCCAGTCTTTTTGACAACATGGCTACATCCACTCCTGCTACCTCAGGCATTCCCTTGCAAGAATACCGCAAGGATGTTCCACCGGGTTGGATTCCAGGCATGGCTGATTATCCTCTACGTTTATACCTTGAAAGAGTCAAAATGTGGTATAGACTATATGACGGCCCAGATGAGACAGTTGGACCATTGATCGCCGGCCGTTTAGGTGGCCGCGCCCAGAAGATTGCTCTTTCTCTTCGGCTTGTTGATCCCCATGGAAACTATGATGTGGGAGATGCGGCTTTGGTCCGGCTGTCCGTAGATGAGGTCAGAGACCCAATGAACCCAAATGTGATCCTGCAACATCATATTCCTTCAGGAGTACAAGCACTCTTCAATGCCCTGAAGGACGCATTTGGAGAAGGAGAACAGCTTCGTGCAACTCAATCATTGGAGAATTTCTTTGACTTTCGACGTGGTCGTCTTTCCTTGGCAGAGTATACTGCTGAATGGAACATGCGCTTGGAGGAAGCGATTTCACATGCTGGCTTGGACGTCAATGCAGTGGCCAGAACCTTCTTGTATTTTCGTGGCAGTCAGTTGCCTCAAAGACATGTAGATGACATCCTCATGCAGATCCATGGTGACCTTTCTCGATTCTCAGATGCTCGAACATTGGCCCTTCGGCTAGCACATCGCCAAGGACCTGATGGACAAAACATGCATTACGAGCAGTCTGAGCAGTTCTACATCGGTGATGATGAGGACTGGCAATGGTATGAACCATGGAATGAAGATGGTGATGCACACTACTATGAAGATGATTGGGGCGATGGCTACTACTATGACTGCGATGAATACGATGAAGATGGTTACTGGCCAGATGACCAACAAGAAGGGCAAGAAGACGTTGATGCCAACGGCGACATTGATCCATCGCCACAACAATCCCAACAAGCTCAACAGCCAACATACTTCAAGAAGAACCTTGGTATTGGCTGCACTGTTTGTGGATCTAAGTGGCATGAATCTTCGTCCTGCCCTATGACATCCTCAAACTATGGCAAAGGAAAATCTCATGGATCAGATCAACGTCAACCGTTTCGAAAAGGAGGAAAGTCCAAAGGAAAAGGCAAATATGGTCGTCCATGGTCTTTTGGCTATCGTGGCAAAGGCAAAGGCAAATATGGCCGTCCTTGGTCCTATGGCTTTCGTGGCAAAGGAAAAGGTTATGGCAAATACTACATGGATGACTATGACCAAGGTGGCTATGAACGTTGGTCCAACGAGTACTTTCTGGAACGCCGTGATCGAGCACAACTCCAACTTCATCATGCTCGCACCGGCATGGACTTTGATGTCAATCACAAAGAGCCATCGTTTTCCAGGATGTCCTCTGATCGACCAACAGAGGCCTTTGACACGAAGCCAACTGATTCCGATGGACCTGCTGAGCCTATCCTGAAGATGTCATCCTCCTTGACCTCCGCTACCAAGAATGTTGCCAAAACCAATGCACAATCTCCAACATCAACATCATCCATGTCACGACCATGCAAGACTCTCAACTTTCCAACACTATCAGAACACTCAACAGTTTATCATCAAGTTCGCGGACACAGTCACAGAGGTTTGCTGGTAGACCCCGGTGCTGGGGCTGGCATCATTGGATCGGAAACATTGAGAGACATTTTAGAACATGTACCATTGCTGAAGAACAACCCAACGCTGGTGGAATGGACAGAACGAAGCACCTCAGTGACAGACATCTCTGGTCAAGGTGATTCCACACTTGCACATGTCACTTTTCCATTTCATCTATCAAAGAAGCTGATGGGAAGTTTTTCTGCAGATGTCCTTGGTAATGAAGGAAGTTTGTGTCCTGCTCTGTTGCCGAATCCTTCTTTGCGACGTGTACATGCGTGGGTTTTGACCGAGTGGTTTTCCAATGGTGATGGCCTCCTTGTTTTTCAGAACCAAGAGAAAGATGGCGTCTCTACGGATCAACTGGTCCTGCTTCGAATGCTTCTCACTGACTCAGGTCACTACATACTGCCCATTGATCAAGATTTTCATGAAGAAGAAAGTGATCAGAAGGAGAAAGTGATTTTTCATATGAAAGCCATTTGTGAACAATCATCATCTCAATGGTCAGATGTTCACCCAACAGTCCAATCACTTTTGTGTATGCAACACCAAGACGGACCATCCCGGGTGAAGCCTGAGCAGAGTGAACTACGAGAGGACCACAGCAAAGATCATTGGAGAATCGATGAAGCAGACAAGAAACTCATTCGTGTGCATGTTCGGCCTCGCCTTGCCTTGTTTGTGCCGCAGCAAGAGAAGTGCCCTGTGGACATCTCCAACATTGGCAGAACCAGATTTTCCAAGATCTTCTATCGTGATGGCAGCTCTGAAGATCGTGCAGATGAATGGCCTGAAGATGAACATCAAAAGTTACTGCATGATCGGTGGACTGGCGAAACTATCTTTGACATCCTGCCTGCACAGCCTGAAGAGCACATTGTCCATGACGAGAATGAGACCGTCTTTCATGAAGATGACATTGCAGCCTACGAAGGAGATTTCTTTCCTGATCATTTGCCAGAAGAACATGTTCGCTATTTGCACAAGAGATATGCTGCATTGCCTGAGCTCTTTTACACGAGAACAAGGAAGAAGGTGATTCGTCCAGACAATGTGCGCAGCTGGATGCGGTCTCAGCCCAAAGGAAGCAGAGCTCACTTGTGGGAACTTTGCAGCGGAACTGGTCGCTTGTCTCTCTTGGCATTGCTCAGCGGCCTGACAGTTTTGTTTCCAGTTGATCTGCGATATGGTTGGGACATTGGCTATGCACCTCATCAGGCTCTTCTTCGTGAAGTGCATGAGACACTTTGTCCTGGGTGTCTTTTCATGGCACCAAACTGCAGACCATTCTCAGTCTCAGCCAACAGGATGCCTTACGAGAAGATGATGGCTGAGCGAGCACAAGAAAAGCCATGCATAGACTTCCTTCAAGAACGAGCTCGAAAACAACATCAAGCTGGCAGAGGATACATCTGGGAGCAACCTTGGCCATCTGCTATGTGGAAGGAACTGGATCTTCCTGGACATTGCTCTCGCACCGATCAATGTCGCTATGGAGCTGCAGATGAAGAAGGAAGACCCATTTTGAAGGCCACCGGATTGGACTCCAACTTTGAGTTGAGATACTCCTGCTCCTTGTGTCGTGGTCATGGTGGTAAACCTCATGCTTGGCTTCAGGGACAAGTGCAAGGAGTCAATCGTACCGCCATTGCAGCCATGTACCCTGAAAGACTTTGCAAGTCCATCGCACGGGACATCAAGCTGTTTTGTCAACGACTCCAGCTGTTTCTCGAACATGATCATGGAGCCGATCAAGAGAAGGAGGATTACTACACGTGTCCCCGATGCAAGATGGGTCGTTTGGCCAGAGACTATGAGCAACACACCTTCATGCCTGGCGAATGTCGCTATGGCAAGTGGCCTGAGGATCAGAAACCAAAGACCATCAAACAACAGGTGGAGGAACGACATCCAGATCATGGGAAGTCTCCGACACAACTCTTTCGAGATGATGCTATGAGAAACACCAGACTGCGTCAAGCCAAGATCAACAGCATTCCTGAGCTTCCTCTGGATGAAGAACATTCTCAGATCCTCAAACATGCTCTCATGAAGATCCTCAACGCAGCACTAAAACATATCGAAGAGAACAAGGATGCCTACTTTCACTGGCTGGAAGACCCTGTGATCACACACTGGATCAAAACTATCTTCAAGCCGTTTATGAAAGTGAATGGTATCTGTACCCATATTCAACCATGGAAGAAGCCTATACCAACTCCAGTGCTGCGCATAGAAGATGGCCACCTTCGGCTCATGCTACGTGGCAACATCTGGAGGTGGAGAATGCTTCAACCTGAAGATTTGCGAGAACTCTCCAATCACCAATGGCATGAACCCACTGACATTGATGAAGATTGGCTGATCACCTTGTTTGGCACGGAGTCTGAAAGTTCAGTGGAAGAGTCCAAAGGCGCATCCTCTTCCTCTACTGCCAAATCTTCGCCTTCAACACCTGCTAGAACATCACGCAGGGCTCCAGCGACTCCTGCAGAGGCTGAAGAGTTTGCCGAGCCATTGATCAACCCATATGAGGTGGATGCGGCTGAACCAGAAGATGGAGTTGATGTTGCAGTTGATGAAGATGTTGCAGAAGAAGCAACGGAAACGATTGTGCCTGCTCAAACTCG